GAGATGCGTAAAGAGCTGGCGCAACGCCTCAAGTTCAGTGGGTGTTTGCTGGTGCTCGGGCCTGGCCGGGCCTGGGAGCTGACTGCCCTGGCTTCCCGGCGCCCTGCCCCTGGCGTCGCTCCGCGAGGGCCCCTCCGCCCCCGGCCCCGCCGGACACAGCCGCCTCTCCTACCTTCGCCCCGGGTGACCGTTAGCTCTGCGCTGTCACGCGGGGACTTCCATCTGAACGGGGGGCGCTAGGACTTTGCACACTACTATCGGAACGTGCCCCGCGTCCCCGCCTCGACTCCGGCTCGGCGCCGACTGGGCGGCTCCGAAGGCGCCTCGGGAAGCCCGAGCGCAGCGCCCGCGGGAGCGCAGGCCAGCCGCGAAGAGCGAGGCCGGAGGGCGCCCCGCCCAACCCCGGCGTGGCCCCGCCTCCTCTCGGCGTTTCCGTCTGGCGGCGCTCGCAGCCTGCAGGCCGTGGGGTCACACGCGTTCTCCTCCCGCACCGGCCCGCGCGCGGCCGTGGGCGCGACCGGAAGCCGCAGGTGGGCGAAGCTGGAAGCGGGGCTGGCGGGGCGCTGCGGCGGGCGGCCCTTTGTGGGGGGCGGGGACCCGAGACCCTGAGCCGGGCCCCGCGCGTGCACCGCCCCGGGCCGCCGCTGCCGGTGCGGTTTCGCTCGGCACTTGGGAGGACCTAACTCCTCGGTTAGGTACGGCCTAGCCCCAGTATAGGAGGGTAAAGTAAAACGTGTTGGTGCCAGCTCTGTGCGTTCCCACAGGGAGCCAAGAAGGCGAAGTAAAACAAGCACGTGGCCATCGTGAGACTCTGGGTAAGTTACGTACTGTCAAAGATGTGGCAGAGTAACTTTTAAGTGTTTAGAAGGAGCTGGGCCTACCTGGGAGGATAGATAGGATTATTTTTTGCTTTCTTTTCAGTAGTGAAGAAGCATGTTTGGCAATGCAAAGTGGTAGCAAAGTGTCCCCCTAGAACATGGATTGTTCTCTTCAGATCGCATAAAATCAGTCATTGAAAGGTGAGAGTAGTCACATGCAGAGCTGATTTAAAGAAAGAGCATTGCGCCAGGCCTTCAAGGCTGACCATATCCTGACAATTAAAGAAAGGCCATCATTCAGCCGGAGGTCTGATCTGTTACTGAAGGATTGAATAAAAGAGAGATGCATCTGTCCCAGATGAATCCAAGCCTTCTCCAGGAAAGGGAGAGTATCCTGGCTTTAACAGGATCTTTGAGAAGGTGGTTTCTCCAAGGCTCATCCCATCAGACATTGAAGTCCCTATAACTCAGTGCTTTTGTTCAGGTTCTGTCTTCACCAGGCAAACTTATAATAAGTTGGCTTATCAGTAGTCCTACACAGAGTATTTGAACAGGCTGATCTGAACATCCAGTTGATAGCCTTCAGTTCTCTTTGTAAATTAATAAATTGGCACTTGGGTTTTTTCCAACATCCTTTTGTTTCCTCATTCTTTGTGCTATTCTTCCTCATCTTTTAGGGCTCAGTTGAAATGTTACATCCTCACAGGGGCCTTTTCGTTTATGTATTCAGGTGTCTAGAACAGTTTCTAGCACATAGTAGGTTCTCAGCCTAACTCACTGAGCTCTCTTGGTCTTTGCTCAAATGTCACCTTTTTAATGAAGCCTAGCCTGACAAGCCTATTTAGAATCACAGCGTAGTTCCTCTCACACTTAATATTTCCAATTTCCTCCTTCCCAGCTCTACTTTTTCATGTAGTCCTATTCATCTTTACTTATTTGGTTCACTGATAAATCAATCCTAAGTGCCTAGAATAATGCCTGTCATGTAGTAGATACAAGATTTGTTGAATTAATCCTTTGCTGTATTTCATTCACACTGCGTACACAATGCGTGGATGAATAGAGATATTTCTGTTTTGTGCACTAATACATAAATTGGATCAATTCTGGAACCCTAACAAGTTGCATTTTTGTCCAAAGTCAGTATCTTTCACTACTGCTAATTTATCAAAATAAATGGCACTTTAATGTGTCTTAGTTGGGGATCTTTGCACGCTTTCCTATTTAAGCGCCTGTTGGGAATATGTGTCATATGACAGGAATGGTATGAGAAGAATAGAGATGGGAAGGTAGGAACTCTATTATAGAGCATTTCAGTTTGCCAGGCATGAGTGCGTTATGCATGTTAACTCATTTAATTCTCTCAACCATTTTGTGAGGTAGGAACGTTTTATAAATGAGACAGCTGAAGCAGCCAGAGGTTAAACTACTTGCCTTAGGTTATTGAGTTAGCAAGTGGCAGAGCCAGGATTAATAGTTAAGCTCTGTAAGTGACTATAGTTAAATACTGTATTGCATATTTGAAAATTGCTAAGAAAGTAGATCTTAAAAATTCTCACCACATGGAAAAAATTTGTAACTGTGAGGTGTTGGATGTTAATTAAACTTACTGTGATAATCATTTTTCAGTATATACATACATAAATCATTATGTTGTACACTTTAATACAATGTTATATGTCAGTTATATCTCAGTAAAATGAGGGGGAAAAAACCGTAAGTTCTTAATCACTTTGCATCCTGCCACACTCTGCATATGCAGACAAGGAGGGATATATCACAAGGTCTTTGAGAATCTCCAAATCCACAGACATCGGTTAGCATATCATGGTCCACCACCCCTGTTCCTTACTGTTTCTCTTTTGGATCACAATGGAAGAGTTTCCTGTTTGCTTGTTCAAGGCTGCCTCCTTCCCTACCTGAATTGGATCCCAGCACCACCCCTTTGTCAGAGACCTTCTCCCTTCACCGGTGTTGCCCTCCCTGACTCCCAGCAGAATCTGAATGTGCTCAGTTCTCTTGCATCAATGTCTGCTACCCTCATCCGGGTCCTCATTGTCTCTAGCTTGGACAGTTGCATTAGTCTATTACCCAGTCTCCCTGCCCCTAGTCTCTCTTTCCTTTAATCCATGCTGAACACTGTCTGCAGAGGCAGTTCTGTATAATGGCTAACTTAACGCTTGTCTGCTTAAAACACTTAAATAGATCCCAGCTGTTTTTAGAAAAACTCCAAATGTTTTTTGTTTTTTTTGTTTTTGACAGAGAGAGACATAGCGAGAGCAGGAACACAAGCAGGGGGAGTGGGAGAGGGAGAAGCAGGCTTCCCGCTGAGCAGGGAGCCCGATGTGGGACTCGATCCCAGGACCCTGGGATCATGACCCGAGCCGAAGGCAGACGCTTAACGACTGAGCCACCCAGGCGCCCGAAAAACTCCAAATGTTTTAGAATTACATGAATCTGTCTCCTCCCCTTCTCTATTTCTTTACTATCTTTGCATAGTAGGCACTCCATAAATATTTGTCCAATGAAGGACTGTATCAGAGTCAGTCACACAGAGCCAAGAACAGAGTTTAAACAAAGCAATCCAGTGGGGCTACAGAAGCTTCCTAGGACAGCATAGCCATAGGTTTCAGTGGAGCTAGGAGACCAATAGTGTAACTCCATCCCTGAGGAGGGAGTTTCCAAAACAGGCCTTACTACGATGACTGTCTTTGTGTATGCCTGGAATATGCTACCCCCATCAATTTGGTAAAGACCATCATATTTTGAGACTCAATTCAAGTATCCCTCTATTAAAACCTGTCCTGACCTTTCTAGACAGAGAAAATATAAATTGGCTTAACTTTTCTGTAGTGTAATTTATCAAAATGTATCAAGAGTGATGAAAATATGAAGACTCTCTTATTTGTGCTTGTAGGACATTACTTAACTACAAAAGATTTTAGCCTAGTTTTGGACTTTAATAACCCATTTTATCCCAGTTCTTTGACCTAAAGAAAAATTATGAGCATCCTAAGAAATAGAATTGGAATAGAGTGGTTTCTTTACAAACATAACTAGTCAAAATACTTGATTACTATAGCTAGTATTCATCCTGTTGCCATCAGCACTGCTAACAAAAATAACGTAAAGTGTCCAAACATAATGAAATTGTCTGTAGCCTTTCCGTATAACCCTGCTACTCTGCCTCTTCCCCTAACCTCAGGCTTAATTATTTAACCTAATTAAATATTGATCTAAATGAAAGAATTATACTACTGGTAAATCAAGTCTAAAAGTCAAATAGGAATTATTTTTTTAAGTATTTTAAGGACATAATTAAAGCTTTCCACAGAGATATTCATGAATACATTGTTGATAACACTGAAAAACTAGAAACCACCTAAAATTACAAACTAAGACACTAAAATTACAAACTAAGAGTAAACAGTGGTATATCTGACAATGAAATATTATACATTAAAGCTGATGTAAAAATAGATTTAACATTGAATGAAATAACAGTATGGTTCCAATTTGGAGTGGGGGAGGGATGTGTGTTTACACATGCACAGAAAAAAACAGGTACACACCAAAGTGTGAATTTTGGTTATCTCCAGGGGGTGGTATTATGGATTCTTTTATTTTGCTCTTTTTACGTATATGTATTTTCTCATTTTTTTAAATGAACATGTATTACCTGTGAATTCAAGATAATTTGCTTGGCTTTGAGATATATTAAATAATGAATTTACAGATTTATTGTTTGAAAAATCCGTACCCTTAGTCCGTTTCAACTGAAATTATTTGAGGTTTGTCTTTATTTCCATTGAGTATTCTGTTACAGAGTTGCTAAAGACTAAGGATAAAGCTGGACAAGAAGCAACTGGATACTTGGAAAAGTTGACCTAAAATAACCAAGAATCAATAGCTAGAAAGTAAAATTTAACTTTCTTTTTCCCAATTAATTAGTCTTCCATTTTTATTTATTTTTTTTAAAGATTTTATTTATTTATTTGACAGACAGAGAGAGAGAGAACAAGCAGGGGGAGCGGCAGAAGGAGAGGGAGAAGCAGACTCCCCGCTGAGCAGGGAGCCCAATGCGGGGCTCGATCCCAGGACCCTGGGATCATGACCTGAGCCAAAGGCAGATGCTTAACCAACTGAGCCACCCGGGCGCCCCAGTCTTCTATTTTTAAAAGCATGCTGATCCCATTTTCAATGAAGAATTGCTTCCAGTTACTTTGTAACCTCAAGGTCCCAGCAGCTGGCTTTAAGAACACAGTAAAAAGTGGGCTCATTTTACAGTCCATTTCCAGTGATGTTTATCAAAATCTGGCTGTAGAAGACTGGATCCATGACCATATGAATCTAGAAGGCAAGCCGGTTCTTTTCTTGTGGAGAAATTCCCCCTCTATTGTAATAGGTAGGCATCAGAATCCTTGGCAGGAATGCAACCTGAATCTGATGAGAGAAGAAGGTATAAAACTGGCTCGGAGAAGAAGTGGAGGAGGAACAGTCTACCATGATATGGGTAATATCAATTTGACTTTTTTTACAACCAAAAAAAAGTATGATAGAATGCAGAACCTAAAATTAGTTGTGAGGGCTCTGAATGCTCTCCAACCCCAGCTGGATGTACAGGCCACCAAAAGATGTGACCTTTTACTGGATGGACAGTTTAAAATCTCAGGAACAGCTTCTAAGATTGGCCGGACTACTGCTTACCACCACTGCACTTTATTGTGTAGTACTGATAGAACCTTCTTGTCGTCTTTGCTGAAGAGCCCTTACCAAGGGATCAGGAGCAATGCCACTGCTAGCATACCTTCCACAGTAAAAAACCTTTTGGAAAAAGATCCCACTCTGACCTGTGAAGTACTCATGAACGCTATTGCGACAGAGTATGCTGCTTATCATCAAATTGATAATCATATCAATCTAATAAACCCAACAGATGAGACACTGTTTCCTGGAATAAATAACAAAGCCAAAGAACTACAGACCTGGGAGTGGATATATGGCAAAACTCCAAAATTTAGTATAAACACTTCCTTTAATGTATTATATGAACAGTCGCATTTGGAAATTAAAATATTCATAGACATAAAGGGTGGAAGGATTGAAATCTGTAATATTGAAGCACCTGATCATTGGTTGCCACTGGAAATATGTGACAAATTAAATTCAAGTTTTATTGGCAGTAAGTTTTGCCCAAATGAAATTACTGTGCTAACAAATATTTTACATAGAACATGTCCAGAAGATGATGAACTACACAGTAAATGGAATATTCTCTGTGAAAAAATTAAGGGAATAATGTGATTCCAAATAAATTTAATATTTAGTTTTTATGAGATAATAAAATGTTCAAAGTACATTGTATGTCTTTTTTTTTTAGTAATCTCTACACCCAACATGGGGCTTGAACTCACAACCCTGAGATCAAGAGATCAAGAGTCATATGCTCTACCAACTGAGCCAGCCAGGCATCCTCATCATTTGTCTCTTAAAAAAGACCTAGCCTCTTTCAGTAACTATTCCCCATTAGGAACTGTCACCTAGTCCATAGTTTCTTATGGCCTGTAGGATACTCTCTTTTTTCAATGATTTTTTTTTTTTTTATCCAGCACACATATATCTGCTCCTTTCTCTGTTACCATCATGGGGGTGTATATGATATTCAACACTGTGATCTCTGAGTTAGTTCTTTTTCTTACCTCTAAGGAATATAACCCAGGCTTCTTGTCACCTCTGATACCTTAAACTCTAAAATTCTTCCTTTTAACTATACAGTTGACCCTTGAATAGTGGGTTTGAACTGCATGGTTTCAATTATATGTAAATGTTTTACAGTGCTATAAATATATTTTCTCTCATGATTTTTAAGTAACATTTTTTCTAGCTTTATTGTAAGAATACAGTATATAATACAAAATATGTCTTGATGATTACTAGTAAAGCTTCTGGTCAATAGGCTACTAGTTAAGTTTTTGGGGAGTCAAAAGTTCTATGTGGATTTTCAACTGTGCCATGGTCAGCACCTCTTAACCCCCACATTATTTGTCAGCTGAACTTTCTTATCGACCATCCTTTCCTGTTAAATTAAGCCCACTGCACTTTTCTAAGCCCTTAACCCTCCAAATCTCTTGCTTCATCTCCCTTCCTATCCATCCCTGAATTCTTTCAAGTATACTGTCTTATCTTACCAGCATTCTCATTTGCTTTTCTCTCCTGACCTACAATGGCCATTGTTTTATTATTATTATTCCATCAACTGGTATTTTACTCCTGTCATACCCAAATGGCAGGCAATGCTGGAAGAAAATTCACATAATCATGCAGATTAACCCAATTTCATATTTATATTTATCCCCTATTTGTGTCAGATTCAATTCCTCTCCATTGACTCCCTCATTTTTCAGAGGCCTTATTCATAAATGTTTCCACTTATCTTAAACTCAGAACTCCACTTCTCTTGTCACAAACCTTGACTCATAATTTGACAGTGGAGGCCTTCATAAATGAGCTCCTTCAGCACCCGATTTCCTCTCAACATTTTTCATTCATTCTCAAATAACACCTTTTCCTTAAGGCTAGTTGTACCTGGATCTTTGTCCTTTCCAACCTATTTGGGCCTTCTACTATTAAATACTTATTTTTCTTTATCTTACATTTTCTCTCTTCACTTACTGGATCCTTACACATAGTGAATGAACATGCTTATGTCTCCTTTCCCCAGAACCCCTGCCTAAGGTTTTGTTGTGTCTCTACATCTCTTCATCGCCAAATTTCTTCAAGGAGTAACATCACTGCCAACCACTTCGTGTCTCTGCAGTTCATTCACATACTACTCTGATTTCTACAGTATTTACTGTGTGTTTTTTGAATGCCTACTATGTGCCAGGTACTTTGTAGTTGTTGGATGTTCATGGTGAATGAAAGAGACTTACTGACCTCAGGAATTGACAGTTTAGTGTACTGGCTTTCGAACTCCTTAAAAACTAGAGTAAAAAAATATTTTATATTATATATTAGCACAGATATTATCTATACCTAACAAGTTTTACAATGCAATGTTTATCCTATACTATTTCCTTATTTGACATTTTATATTTGATTTTATTTCATCTTTTAAAAATTATTTTAACACCCAATAATAGGTCAAGACCGGAGTTTAAGAAACAGGAGCCTAGGGCGCCTGGGTGGCTCAGTTGGTTAAGCGACTGCCTTTGGCTCAGGTCATGATCCTGGAGTCCCGGGATCGAGTCCCACATCAGGCTCCCTGCTCAGCAGGGAGTCTGCTTCTCCCTCTGACCCTCCTCCCTCTCATGCTCTCTGTCTCTCATTCTCTCTCTCGCAAATAAATAAAATCTTAAAAAAAAAAAAAAGGAAACAGGAGCCTAATAGGAAATGTGGACAAACAAATCAGTATATAATTATAAAGCAAGAAAAGCCTGGGTAGTTCTAACAGACAATAATAGGGGCTGCCTCGCTAGAGCTATCAGGGAGCGGACATTGAAATGGAGACCTGAAGAATGAGAAGAAAGCAGCCAAGCAGAGGAGTGGGGAGGAGAGTATTCCCAGTTTTATCAGTTATTTGCCTCTTTTAACAAACCACTCCAAAACTTAGTGGCTTAAAACAACATTTATTTTATTCACAAATCTACAATTTGAGCTTTGATGGGGATAGCACATATGATCCAGTGGCATTGGCTAGGACAGCTTAAAGAGCTGAAATACCTGCTTCAAGATGGCTCACATGGCTGGCAAGTTGGTGCTGGCAGTTGGCTGGGAGCTCAGCTGGAGCTATGGGTTGAGGGCTTCAATTCCTTTCTACCTGGGCCTAATCAAGGCTGTCTGAACTTCCTCACAGCATGGTAGCTGTATTCCAGAACAAGTGACTCAAGAAAGCCCAACAGAAACTATTTCCTTTTATACCTTGTCTTGGAAGCAATTTATATAGTCACACATGCATCCAAATCCAAGAGGAGAGAACATCGATAGCCACCTCTCTATGGGAGGAATGTCAAAGTCATTATAAAAATTACCCTTATTGCAACCATTTTTATAATCTACCACACAACAGCATACAGGAAGCCCTAAAGCAGGTAAAAGCTAGGGTTGTTGATGGTGTCGAAGGATAAGCAAACTGAAGTGTGGGAACAAGGGGAGAATGGAGCAAGATGAGGATAGAGAGAAAAGAGACCAGATCATGTAGGGACAGATAGCCCAAGGTAGACCTAGATCTTAATTTAAGTGCAACGACACTGCAGTTGTTATATTCTGTCTGCGCTGTGGAGAATGGATTGGAGGGAGAGAAAATAGGAAGCAGAAAGCCACTTGGGAGACTACTGCAGGAATCCCAGCACAGGTAATACTGGCAGTAGCCATGGAAAGATGCTGACATTGTGTTAAGCCCTTGTCAAAAATTAAGGATGATTTCTATTTTCAGGACAAGGTTTAATTCTGATTCCTTTTAAAAAAGGGAAACAATAAAGCAGTATATATTAGTTTGCTAGGGCTGCCATAATAAAATACCACAGATCAGGTGGCTTAAACAATAAAAATGTATTTTCTCACAGTTCAGGAGGCTGGGAAGTTCATGATAAAAGTGCTGGTGGATTTGGTGTCTCCTGGGGTCTCTCTTCTTGACCTGCAGATAGCTGCCTTCTTGCTGTATGCTCACATGGTCTTTCTGTTATCGGACAGAGGACCAGTTCCAAACTCGCTGCTTGAAAGCCAATGCTCAAGAGACAAGTGTTGGTGGGAAAGGAAAGGTTGCTTTATTGAGGAAGTTGGCAACCTGGAAAAATGGCAGATTAACATCTCAAAGACTCATCTTCCCTGTCCAGGGGAAACATATTTTTTATTTTTGTTTTTGTTTTTTTTTAAAGATTTTATTTATTTATTTGACAGAGAGAGACACAGCGAGAGAGGGAACACAAGCAGGGGGGAGTGGGAGAGGGAGAAGCAGGCTCCCCGCCGAGCAGGGAGCCTGATGCGGGACTCGATCCCAGGACCCTGGGATCATGACCTGAGCCGAAGGCAGTCGCTTAACCAACTGAGCCACCCAGGCGCCCGGGAAACATATTTTTTAAAGGGAAGGTGCAGGAAATGGTGAGGGGGCTACGTGCAGAAGTTGGTGCTTAACAGTTAATCATCTGGCCTCAAAAAATCTTTCAGAATCCTCTGCTCTACCAATAATCAAGGCTCCTAGGTGGTCTCTCAGTAAAGGATGCCCCTGCAGCCCAACAAGCCACATCCTGGGAAGGCAGTCCGGACTCTTCCCCCTGTACCAGGAATCAAGGCTCCCAGAGTCTCTTACTGAGAATGCCATGGTCAGTGGAAGCTGTTTTTGTGTGGTCAGGCCTTATCTTCTGGGAAGTCTGGTTCTTCGGTCCTCAAGGCTAGCAGTTTGCAGGATCTCAAGGCAAGTAGGTTAGTACTGCTACAAACTGGGATTTAGGTCCGCAAGCAAGGAGTGAATAAGCTTGAAGCACATTAACCCTTAAGACCAATGGGGGTGCTGTCACAGTTCCTCTGAGTGTGCATATCTGTGTCAAAATTTCCACTTCTTATAAGGACACCAATTTTTCCCTCAGTGTGGGAGCGGAGTAAGTGAAAGGGATTTTACTTTTCAAGTGGCTCCAGGGACAAACACAATTGGCCATCTAACCATTTTTCATTTGAGTCCGGTTTCATAGGCAGGTCCTTCTGTTCTTTTCCAGCAATATTAAACAGCAAATAAACAATTTTGAAGAGATTTCTCATAAGCATATTTTTTTACGCACTACATTTGCTGCAACGTGTGGAAGTTACTTTCCAAGAAAGGTATAAAAATCCTGATATGATGTGCTTTGGGGCAATAAAGCACTCAGGACTTTCTGATACCATCTGTTTGTCAAGATCGAGAATATCATCAGGTGAAAGGTGGTAAGGGCTTCAAGATCCAAAAGGGAAATTTAACAAGCATCACCTGGAATAGAAAAGGCATGTTTTGCAGCTAGAGTCCACAGAATTTTCTGATTGTTTCCATATGAGGATAAAGGAGATAAAGAATCAAGAACGACTCCTAGATTTCTTATTTGAGCAACTGGATGGATGGGAGTAAACACAGGGAGTGGGGGAGTGTGTTTCCAAAGTTCAGTTGCAGCATCCTATATTTGAAATGACTGTGTGCTTCTGAAATGCCAGAGGAAATGCCACATAGGCAGCTGAATATATGAGATCATAGCTCCAAGGAAAAGTTTTGGCTTAATTTATATATTTAGGAGTTGACAGCATATACATAGTATTTTAAGTCATGAAAATGGATAATTGGGAACTTTTATAATTCATCTTACGGCATGAAGTATTTAGCCCCTGAGTCCCCTCACTCTTTGGGGGATTCTCCAACTTAAAAAACCTTGCTGTGAGACAGAACCCACCTGCTGAGAGGTCATCAAGAGGATGTGACTGCCAGTTGACGCTTGCACTGGATATGGGCAATTGAAGGCTCTTTACACCCTCCCCTGTCCTTAGAATGTGTGTTCTGCCCACTGCTCCCACATCAGGAGCCACTTCAAGGACTCAGTCTTGAGAGAGTACTTTGTTACTGAGACTATCTGGATTGTATATGTGACTTGAATCCCATCAAGGCCTCCATGAACTCTTGAGATTCTGCAGGCATGTGCGGAGATTACTTATCTTGTAGCGACCCAAGACAAGCCTCATATGTTAAGTTCCGTTGCTTATTAAACCCCATCTACCAAGTGGTCTGCCTCTTTCTTCAGTCTCTCCTTGCCCTGAGTGTACGGAGGCCAGTTTTGAATTTCACCTGGGGAACTCCAAAAATGGCAAATCAACAACACTCCTCTCTATGGAAACTGAAATTTTCACTGTACTCCTTTCCTAGTCTCTCTTGAATCTAGGGTGAGGGCACATGACTTAGGCTCTGCCAATCAGATGTACTTGCTTCAGACTCTGAATGGATCATGATGAAGTGAACCTGGGATGGTGAAAACCCTTCTCTGGCAGTTGTACCAGGGCCTGAATTTCTGGGGTAGCAAGGTGCTAAGAGTGGCAGTGTAGTGCCCAATAATTTAAGTGACAGAAGTGGTAATAAGGCTACTGAGTTCAGGCCTTGCCTTGGGGTCAGCAGTGGTACCATCTGATTAGTTCTGTGTTGTGAATCTAGATATGGCTTTTTTCATTGCAGAACTTCCAAGGCCAAGTCTGTACCTCTTGTGGTGATGGTATGAACTACCCACTATCTTTACAATCTCTTTTTTGCTTACATCAGGTAAGAGCAGTTTCTGTTGCTTTTCACTAAGAAATTACTGGTATAATCACTTGGGGGAGAGTGTAGATTAAAAAAAAAAAGAGGTTACTACTTAGTATCTAATTTAGGAGAACGCCAATACTTAAAAGACAGGGAGGAGGAGAAAATGTTTCATGGAATTTGAGAGCTTTAAGAAGGGAGTGGCAAGGGGCGCCTGGGTGGCTCAGTCATTAAACGTCTGCCTTCGGCTCAGGTCATGATCCTGGGGTCCTGGGATCGAGCCCCGCATCGGGCTCCCTGCTCCGCGGGAAGCCTGCTTTCCCTCTCCCACTCCCCCTGCTTGTATTCCTGCTCTCACTGTGTCTCTCTCTGTCAAATAAATAAACAAAATCTTTAAGAAAAAAAGAAGGGAGTGGCCAACTGGGTCAATTACTCCTGAAAGATCAAGTAATATGAAGGTTAAGTACCCACTGGATATGGTAATAATGGAAGTCATTGTTGACCTTGACAAGAGCAATTTCAGTGGAATGACTGGGTAGCCTGGTTGAAGTGAGTTGAAGTATTATTAGGTGGTAAGGAAATGGGAAAAAATTGTATAGAGAACTTGAAGAACAAAGAAATAGGGTGGGTGGTATCTGGCTGGGAATATCTGTACTGGCAGAAACAATGCAGCAGAGAGGGAGAGATCACTAAAAAGACGAAGTCCTTGGTGAGGCTAACGGAAGCAAGACTGAATTCACTTCCTGAAAATTTGGCTATCTTCCTTATAGATTAGTACTATTAACCCTTTCTCTATATGCTATAAATTTGATGTCATGTTAACTTTTTATGGTTCTCTCTACTCAAGTTTTCAATATTTACATGATCAAATCTTTTGCCTTTTCCTTTCCTTGATAATTCCTGGGTTTTGTGTAATAGTTAGTACATTTAGTGGAGCTTTAAAAAAAATTGTTTTTCACTTAATTAGCTCTTTAACAGAATAACCTCTATGTGGGGTAGAGATCTAATGTTTTTTCCAAACATTTATTGAATAGTCTACTCTTTCCCCACTAATATGAACCATATCTTTGTTGTTCATTAAGGACCCATACACACATTTACTTTCTCTCTCAGGTGTTTCCAGGCTCCTTATTCTACCCCACTGATTTGTCCATTCTTATGCCATACATTAAAAATATATATACATTGTAACTTTATGTCTTTATAGCTGGTCAAGCAAGTCTCCTAGTGTTAATCTCTTTGTCATTTAATTTATAAATTAGGGAGAGATGATATCCTATATAAGCCTTCCCATTCAAGAATATAATTTGTCTTCCTAGTTTTTTACATTCTTCCATAAAGTTTATAGTTTTCTCATACAGCTCTTGCACATTTCTTGATGTATTTAATAAGTAAATTGCATATGGTAGTCTTCTGATGTTCTAATTGGATCTGGGGATAGATTTCAAATACCTAGAATAATGGATAGCATTATTGCTTTATCCACTACTATAAATAATGGATAGGTGCTCTTCCTTAAACATCAGTATTTCTTAGGCAGGATTCCTATGTGGGTTGGATAAAAGTTAATTTCATAGGGTTGTGAAATGATGAATCTCTATAGTGATAGATTCACATGCTCTAGAAGAAATCAGAGTGGTTACTTTAACATGAAAAGAAGGAGGTCTAATACGTGTTCTCACCTGAATGAAAAGCCACTCTGCTTCCACATGCTGATAGGTACCTGGCAAAATAATCTACGATACTTTGCAGAAAGTAACTTCTGATTAGGTCCAACAACACTTGCTCTCCTGAGACCCTGAATTTCCATATAATAAAGCTTGGCAAACTGGCTTGAGTCTTTTCAGGTTCAGCATTATCAGCACCTGAACCTGAAAACATTAAAGAAAAACATTAGGAACTTTTCTGGAATCCCTTCTTGGTCTTTTATGCCAACTGAGTCAGGTGACTGCTGGCTCCCAGAGGTAAAACATAAACCTGGTGTCCAAGTCACCCGAGGACCACTCTACCCCTTATTCCTGTGGCTTCTACCGGCTTTGGTCCTCCATGCTATTTAATCTTAAATGTAATCTTCAGTCTTCTCCAGATGAGATGTTTAGATGTGTATTCCTCAACACGAGTACTTCTGTTTCCCTCCATAGACTGGCTTAGTTTATTCTTTAAGCTTCTGGACTGCCCATTACCTCTACCTTTATCCCCAATCCCAACCTATCTCCACAGAACCTAGTCTTCGTCCCCAACCAGTCAACTGGCATCTGGATGGATGAGCTTACCCAGAACAGTTGATTCTAAGCTGCAAAGCATTACAAATGTGCCAGCCAAGGTTGAATTAGCTGCAAAATGCCTCTGCATAACTAAGCAGGTTGATTTGCCTTTATGGAGTTAGGTAATATTGGATAAATTAATGTTGGTGAATTTCTACCAAGGACACTTAATTGTAATAAAATTAACATTTTTTTTCCTGGTTATTAGACCCACAAGCCCATCTGTCTCTTAGAAGAGTACCCTAATCCGTGATTTTTCCTCCTGGACGCTAAATTCCCAGGGGGAAGATTAACATCCAATTCATCTTCATAATAGGCGCTCATTGTTTATTAATTCATTCTCCAACAGTAAAATAAAAGACAAGCTGGTAAAATGTTTAAATTAACCTTATGACTGGAAACACTGTAAATCTACTGAATAATGTATTTATAAAAATATTTAGGGTTGGTTATATAACTAAAAAATGGATCCATAAATTAGTAGAAATGTAAAAATTTATTGTTAAATTCATAATTATAGGAATGATCTGTCCAAAGTAACAACAAAATCAATATTCACTTAAAATAGAAATATATAATGCAAATTAAGCTACTACCCATCATATTTTTTGTGTGTGCTTATTATGAAAAATGTCCACTGTTGTTTCATGACATGGTCTTAAATCAAAATCACAAAATCCAAGGGAAAAACGACTCTAAGAAAAGAAGAAAAGAAGTTTTTTAATTAAAAAAAACCCAAAGCCATGTTGTTAAAATGATACAAAAAGAGTGTAACATACTCACTCATAAGACTACATCCTACCTGTGGTTTCTTAAAATAATCAAGTCCTCTTCCAATCTTAATCATCCATCCATTGTTAAACCTGTTGAAATAGTATACAGTATTATACTCCAGACATTTAACTCAGACAGTTATCAAAGGTGTAGTGTAGCAAGCATCAGCAACATTTCCCCCTAACATAGAAAATCACTTTCTGCAGTGGCATGAGTTCAACCAAACCGGGCGTTACTTATGGGCTATGTCTACAATGAAATAAAAACGTCCAAAGGAACCATTAGTTGATTTGATTAGCTGGTAACAAGTTTGACAATTCAATTAATCTTACTGTCGAATTTCAGATTTCTGACAAAACTTTCCTGTTCTGCTAAGTGTATTCAGGCAGACTATGGTGTGTTGCAGGGGTTCCCCTACCTAGAGATGGAGGACATAAGCAAGAAGAGCTCTGGATCCCGACCACAGTTACTCTAAACATATGAAAGCCACTGTGTTAAGCAGAGGAACACACTACTAAAATACCTGCATATACTGTTTCCTTAAAGACACTGTAGCATACTGTCACACCTATGAGATTATTTAATAAACTATAAGAAAAAAATACTAAGATCATCAGAATATGAACTATTATCATCAGAAAAGAAAATTATCCCGATACCATAACACTGTATGTATACTTCCTCTTCTCACATGAAATAGAACATATAAACTTGATTCCATTAGGAAATATGAAACTCAGACATAATAAGTCAGATTTTTTTTCTCAAAAGTGAAAAGATACTAAAATTGAGCTTTATTTAAAATTTTAATAAACTGAATATTTACATGAATTATATAAAACTTATTAAAAGAAATAAAAAGTATTTTCAACTGCATAAAAATTAAAATATTGCTATACACTAACCTAATTTCTCGGTCATGTACTGAAGAAGAATATTCTAATTCCAACAGCACTCCGTGATTCTGGAGTGACTCTTTTATTTCTTGCAGGCCACTACTTTGCTGCTGTTTCCCACTCCCCTGTTAATAGGAAGAATACAATTTTCTGTTCAGTTATTATCATTTTAAATTATCATTAAGTTGTGCAATGTGTATCATGGATGAATTAAAATGGGAAAGATTCTATACTAGTTTCAAAGTCTATTATCTCAAAGAAGCAACCAGAGTATGAAGTAGTTTAATAGCACTTGTTTTTATCAAAATAATTGGTTTTTTTTCTAATGTGTACATAACACAAGTCTGTTCCATCTCCTAAAATGTATTTTAGTAATGCTGTTTAGTTATTCAGATTTTTAGTTACTCAGCTTTCTTTTCAAGTTAATCCTAGAAATCTGGTTTATTTAGAAGCATTCCTATTTAAGTCAAAATCAAGATGGAGATGCTCACTATCATTCTATGATCCACCAGAAGGCCAATACAATAAATCAAGAAAAAGAGATATAATCACTGGTAAAGAGAGACAAAACTGTCAACAGTGCAGACATGTGATCATCTCCTGGAACACCCAAGAGACTAAACTGACAAACTACTTGAATCAGAGAGTTGAGCAAAGTGGCCAAATGCAAGGTACAACAAAATCAGAAAAAAATCAACAGCGTTTTTTGGAAGATATTTTAGGCCTATTGTTAGATAATTCCCAAAGAAACAGTTCTAGCTGAAGCGGTGTCCATGTTTTCCTTGCTCAAACTATATCTCGTAACTGAATAAAGTTAATGAAGAAAAGAATAAATGCTTCCAGATACTTACTTCAATCGGAGAGGTGAGAAGATGAATAGTTTTTACTTTACATGGTTTCTTAATAAGCATCTCACAAAATCGAAGAAAGTTATATAGCTGAAAGACATCGGGATAGGTTATTATTTTTTTTTTTTTAAAGATTTTATTTATTTATTTGAGAGAGAGAGAATGAGAGACAGAGAGCATGAGAGGGAGGAGGGTCAGAGGGAGAAGCAGACCCCCTGCTGAGCAGGGAGCCCGATGCGGGACTCGATCCAGGGACTCAGGATCATGACCTGAGCCGAAGGCAGTCGCTTAACCGACTGAGCCACCCAGGCGCCCGGGATAGGTTATTATTAACGCATACATTTTAAATAACATTTCATCATATTTTTGTACATTTCACCTACCTGATGAATCTGTCTAATATAAGGATCTTGTATCCAAACTTCTGTAACTGTTTCATTAAGGTATTTTTGAAAAAGTGACTCATAACTGAAACCTGTTGCATTCTCTTCTATTTTAATCTGCTTGTGATATTTTCCATCTACAAAACACAAGTTCCAATAATAAAACCAGTGACCATTTATTTTCTTTTTACACATATTTACATACAATGATTAATCAGGATCAGATACAATTTTTTTTTTTTACTTGACAGAGAGAGACACAGTGAGAGAGGGAACACAAGCAGGGGGAGTGGGAGAGGGAGAAGCAGGCCTCCCGCCGAGCAGAGAGCCCGACACGGGGTTCGATCCCAGAACCCTGGGATCACGACCCAAGCCAAAGGCAGATGCCTAACGACTGAGCCACCCAGGTGCCCCAAGAGTTAATTTTTTTTTAACTCCTCCACTCAGCAAACATTTCTAAATACCTACTACATATATATGAGACACAATGGAAGATGCTACATACAGAGATAAATAAGGCAAACAATTCCCTAAGTCATTTCTACCTTCATGGAGGCAAAGTAGGAAAGTCCAGAGATTTCTTGGAACAGGTTCTTGAGTCGAATCCTATAGACCAGGCAGTTTATTCAAGAGAATCCTGTATGTAAAATGATAGCTGACATTCTGTCACCATAAGTAGAACCATAAGCTAGAACTCAGGGGCTACTTTGTCCTTCTCTTCAGATTTAAGCCTTTTTATGTCCTCAATTTAATAGCTAAAGTATTAAACATATAAATGCAGTATTATGTGGAATTTAGAAGTCTTTCTTAGAACTTATAGACAGTATTTTAAGCAGAAATTTATACCACTTCTTAACAACCCAAGCCAAAGACTAGGATGCCACAGGATCCGTAAAATAGTTCCATTGTTTTTGTTCATTCCAAATGAGTAATTATTAAATTCATTGTCAAAGACCTTTAAGATTTTTTTAAAATATGACTCCTAATGGTAGTTTCTAACTTATATGATGGTTGCATATTTAAAGTTTGTTTAAAAACCAGTAGTTTGGATTCTGTTCCTAATATTTCCACAAATATAATGTTAGCAACTATGCATCAGTTTTCAAGCCAAGCTGGCCACATAGGGTAATTTAACCCAATGTATTCAAACCACAATGATGATGGTACTATATTTCACCCATGTTCTAAAAGGAAATTTCATTGTACATTTCAATTTAGGGTGAAGGAAACACTATTTTATTTCCACCCCACAGAGAAGCTTGGGGAGGGGAGTACCCAGGGTATGGGCTCATACAGAATACTAGGAAGAGGTGGGGGAGGGCTGTATAAGGACGTGAGGAACAGCAGCTGAAGGATGCACTGTTGCTGTTTTTTTTTTAATAGAGTTTTGAAAGATTTTATTTATTTATTTACTTATTTATTTAGAGAGCAGGGGGCGGGAAGGGGCAGAGGGACAGAGAGAATCTTAAGCAGACTCTGTGCTGCCTCACGACCCTGAGATCAAGACCTGAGCTGAAACCAAGAGTAAGACACTTAATAGACTGCAACACCCAGGTGCCCTGGAGGCACTGGTTTTTTGAGGGCAGTAGTAACTTTGGCTAAAAAAAGCGGAGTGTGCCAGACAAAGGTGGCGATGACCATTTATAGACATATGTTTGTAATCTGCATGCTCATGAGTAGAGAACTAGTAATAAGTAGGGAAGGACACCTACAGCATCTCCAGTCATGGAACTGCAACACTGAAATGTTTTGATTCACAACAAAATCCTAAAGAAGTCCCAGAAGCTTATTTAGCTACTTCAACATTTTGGTCATTTTACAAAGGGAAATACAAATAAAATACAGGATTTACATTCTCTATTTCTGTGTAGTATTATTTCAACTGCAGTCCATACATAAGCTTCATGGGGATCTGTGAATTCCTTAAAAGAGCATGCAGAGTTCTGCAGTATGTATAGCTCTCATCAGATTCTCAACAGGGTATGTGAAAACCACTTCCCCCCAGGATCCCCCCAAAAAAGCTAAGGAGAGCTTATGTATAGGGAAGTGTAAATGCAAAGTAAACCTGTAGGATCCCAAGGATAAACGGTCCAGACCACAAAGAGTTCCAAAAGGCAGAGCCAGAAACACTGCAGGAAATGGGCTTTGTCACAATAGCTTATAGACACATTCTGTAAATCAGCCTCTTTACCTTCTTTTTCTTGATCCAAGTATTTCTTCACTATTTCTGCTCTATCCATGTAGCCAGTAATTTGTTTTCTGAGATTACATTTCTTTGTATCATCTTTGGTACCTACAAATTAAAAAAATACATTCTCAAATTTCCAAATAGTTTTTCTACTGAGTACAGGCATTATTTCCAGTTTCTCAAGTCTTTCACAAATTTCCTATCCTTAAGCATGGTTTGCCTCGGTCCTAAAATGCACAAATGGGCTCAAATTTGCCTTGATCATGCAAGACCTTCATTTTTACACTAAGTCTCTGAAACAGCTTTATTTAGGAGTGGAGATTCTGACACTGTGTCTCACTGGTGGGGACACCAAATTTGCTGAGGTGACAAAGATGGCTTATTACAGGTCAAACGTGAGTCTGAGAACTATTTTGTCCTAATCAACCACAAGTCTGAAGTCTTAGCATAATCAAAAATAGCAAACAATACCTATCTTTCTTCCACAAAACCAGCTTCTCTTCCAGACTTCCCCATTATAGTTCATTTTCCCAGCCACCCCAAAAATGTAAGGTATTTTTTTTGAATAACATTATCAATAAAATTTTACCCCAAGCCCCACGCCCCAAAACCCAATCAGTCACCAAATCACTTCTGGTTTCTTCATTCCTTCCTTTTGATATTGCTTATATTTTCCATAATAATTTCATGTTTAAACTCCCAGTTTTAAAAATATTTTAATTTTGTATTTATATAAAAATTGCAATACAATGGTACAGTACCCTTTCACCCAGACTCCCCTAATATTAACATATCATGTAAGTATAGTACAATTATCAGAGTTAGGAAATTAACACTGATACACTATTAACCCATCCACAAACCAATTTTCCCACTAAAGAAAGTTTGTTTTCTGGTTCAGGATCCTACACAGCATTTACTTATCATGTCTTCTTGGTCTCCTCCAATCTGTAATAGGTCCTTGGCCTCTCTCTACCTTTTATGATTTTGACATTTGGGGAAAACCGTGCTCAGTTATTTGTAGGATGTCTCTCATTTGGGGCTGCTGGTGTTTTCTCATGATTAGATTGAGGTTATGCCATTTTGGCAAGAAAATCATGAAAGCATGCCCTTCTCAGTGGGTACATGATGTCGATATGTGTTATTACTGGCAATGTTAACTTTGATCACATGGTAATTGAAGATTACTCCGCTGTAAAATCACTATTTTGTCTTTTGTAATGAGTAAGTATCTTGTGGGAAGATACCTTGTTTCTCATCACTTTGACCCACTAATTTTAGCATCCATTGATGGTCCTCGCCTGCAACAATTATCACTAGAGTGTCTGTCAAACAGAGATTTTCTATTTCCATCATTCCTATTTATTAATTTGGAATGCTACTGTAAGGAAGAGCTGTCGCTTCTCCTCCATCTATTTATTTATGCAGTGAGAGATTTATATCAATATGGACTCATGCGTATTTATTTTAGTCTGTGGGTTGTAATCCAATACTATTGGTTTTTAAAGTTTGTATTTAAATTCCAGTTAGTTAACATACATTGTAATATTAGTTTCAGGTTACAATATAGTAATTCAACACTTCCATATATATCACCCAGTGTTCATCACAAGTGTACTCCTTAATCCCCATCACTTATTTAACCCATCCCTCTAGGCACCTCCCTTTTGGTAACCATCAGTTTGTTCTCTATAGTTATGAGTCTGTTTCATGGTTTGCCTCCCTCTTTTTTTTTTCTTTCTTTTTTTCCTCTCTGCTGGTTTGTATCTTAAATTCCATATATGAGTGAAATCATATGGTTATTTGTCTTTCTCTGACTTACTTCGCTTAGCATAATACTCTCTAGCTCCATCCATGTCATTGCAAATGGCAACACTATTATTTTCTTGTTCCAATTTTATCAGCTTTGGCTTTGAGAGCTCCTTTGTGCTGGCCCCTACCCATTCAACATGACCCATCATATTTTGAGCACTTCCTTGCTTTTTGGTGCAAAATGTTTTAAACTCATCTTATGTCTTCCCTGCCCCAGCCCTGGAATCAACCATTTTTCCAAGAGGCCCTGGTTCCTTTGTTGGAGAATGGTATGAAGAAATCCAATTCTGGGTGCTGAGTGTACTCGTTGCCACTAAGGAAATCCTGTCACTACTTCTAGACCCTTTTAGTCAATGTGGCTAGAAAGTATATGTACGGCTAATAACACACATGTACATCTGCATTTATTTCTGTGTCTATCCATCTGCATATATATTAAAAACCACAAGTTCATGATCATAACTTTGATCCCACAGGGTTCATTCTAGCCCTCTTCCTCTCCTTATGTGTAACTTCTTTTATTAACCACAATATATGTACTGGCTTGTTTAAGCCTAGTATAGACACAATTGTTCTCTGTCATTCAAGTGGGAGGAAAGACAACAATAAAAGTAAATTGGTGGGGCACCTGGGTGGCTCAGTTGGTAAGCATCTGCCTTCGGCTCAGGTCATGATCCCAGGGTCCTGGGATCCAGCCCCACATCAGGCTCCCTGCTCCTTGGGAAGCCTGCTTCTCCCTCTCCCACTCCCCCTGCTTGTGTTCCCTCTCTCGCTGTGTCTCTGTCAAATAAATAAATAAAATCTTTAAAAAAAAAAAGTAAATTGGTAAAATACGTGTGTTAGATTGTGGTAAGTACTATTAAATAAAATAAAACAAGGAAGAAGGATAAGGGAGTCCTAGGATGGGGTTGTAATTTTATACAGAAGGTCAGGGAAGGCCTCACAGAGAAGGTAATATTTGTTTTTTGGGGGGGGGGTTGTTTGTTTGTTTTAAAGATTTTATTTATTTGACAGAGAGAGAGAGAGAAAGAGAAAACACAAGCAGGGGGAGCTACAGAAGGAGAGGGAGAAGCAGGCTCCCCACTGAACAGGGAGCCTGATGTGGAGCTCGATCCCAGGACCCTGAGATCATGACCTGAGCTGAAGGCAGATGCCCGACTGAGGTACCCAGGCACCCCCCCCCTTTTTAAAGATTTTATTTATTTATTTTACACAGAGAAAGAGCAGAGAAGGTAATATTTGTATAACGAAAGGAAAGAGAGGGAATATGCTATACAAATATTTGGGAGAACATATTCCTAATAGAGACAATCCCTACATGCAACTTTAATTACATCACTCCTCTGTAAAAACTTTAAATGGTTTCTCCCTGTCTATGGAATGAGTTAAAATCTGGCGGTCAAGGCCATCCACACTGTGTTCCAAGCCTCAATCTACCTTTAAACTTTACTTCTCACTCTTTCTCTATAGACACATGCTGGGACCAAACTGAACCACTTATTTGGTAAACTAGCACAGACAGAATTTAAACACTTAGCTGAATTTCATTTCTGAAATTCTACTTACTTCTCCAAAGCCCCTGTCAAAAGCCACCTGCACCTTTCCTCCCCCCAAATGACCTTTAATTGTTTATTTCCTCATTGTACTTGTCTATACCCTTTCCTGGCACTTACTCCCAATATAGAGTTATTTGCATTTCTATCTTAATCTGTAAGATAACATCACTGTCTCTATAACCTCTGTAGAATCAGCGGAGCACACTGGAGCAAAACTGTGCTTCTCCTGATTCAGATTCCCAGAGTGCCAAAACTTGACACTGACAACCCTAGGGCACCAGAACTTTAGCAGTGCTCCACCTGACCAACACTGTACACTGTCTCTTTTTGGCAGTCAGTATACCAGAGTCTTTTAAGCCTTGGGGCTCCAATTGTGACTCTACTAATTGTGGAGAAGCTTAATGTTATGCTGCAAATGAGAATAACATCACCTCCTTCCTCATAGGGCAACTGTAGGGATGAAACAAGATCATGATTTTGATGTACTCTACACAGTGCCAGCACTCAGCACTCATAAATGTAACTACTCTTATCTTCATCATCATCATCACCATCATCAAATGGGCTTTCCCAAGAACTTTTATAGTTCTTTTTTTCAAGATTTTATTTTATTTGAGAGTGGGCGCACACGAGTGGGGGGAGGGGCAGAGGGAGACGGAGAAGCAGACTCCCCGCTGAGCGTGGAGCCCAATGCGTGGCTCTATCCCAGAACCCCAAGATCACGACCTGAGTTGAAGTCGGACGCTTAACCGGCTGAGCCACCCAGGCGCCCCTGTAGTTTTACAGTTCTGACAAAAGCACCCAACCTTGAAGGGCGCCCTCTGCTGTCTTTTCAAAGCTTCTGTAACGCTTAGGCTAAAGGGCACACAGGGGAGATCGTAGGCCAGGGACTGTACTAGTTAATGGTTATTTGGGTACTTCTCAACATTGAATAACTACATGACAGATAAAGTCTCGCTGCCTCACCCACTATGCATTTCTCACACTGAATTTCAGTACACACGTTTCTTAGAATTTTTTTCTTTTACCGCTACGTGATTTTATTTTTGTTTACTTCTAACCAAAATATCGAAACAGAAAAGTAATAATAGTGTAATGAACACCCTTATTACCCATCACATAGATTTAAGGATTGTTAGCATTTTGCCACATGCTCCAACTGTTTTTTTCCCCTAAAATTAAATTCAGACATCATGACAAATTCTTCCCAAGACACTTCAGTCTACATCTCTAAAAATCAAAGACAGTTTTCGACAAAACCATACTGCTTAACAAAATCAGTAATTTGAGTGTTACCCAATCCATATTTAAACTTCCCAAACTGATCCAAAAATGTCTTTTACATTTCGTTCAAAACTAGTCCTACCAAGGTTTATATATTACATTTTATTCTGTCTCTTAAAAATCTAGAGTACTGTCCCTCTTTTCTGATGACATCAATCTATTAAAGATATAAAAGAAACCAGTCCACTTGTTATGTAGAATATCCACCTTCTGTATTTGACTGCTTCCTAGTGCTGCACAAGAAGGATTTTTAACTTTCACTCCGCCCCAGACACAGCGGGATCCAGTTCCTCTAGTCCTCTCTCCACCGCTCCCTGCTCACCTCTGAGAACCTGCATGAGCAGGTCTATCCCCTCCTGGTAACACACCAGAGCCTGCTGGTACCGGGACTCCGAGTCTAGTTCTACCGCCCGCTTTAAGACCGTGAATGCAGCCACGCTCTGGGGATCCAGCTCCTTCCCGGACTTCGCCATAGTTCCGAAACTCCCCTGCGCCCCAAGCTCAACCGGAGCCTAGCCAGCCGGCCGCGCTTCCGGGGGCGATCACGTGACGTCAGTGCGCCGGCGCTCTCTTCGTGGCCGTTGAATGGGCGGGACACGGCCGGAACTGAAGTGCGCGGGGTCACAGTTGTTGCCCGCCGTGACGGCTGGGGTTGAGTGCAGCGGTTGGGGATCTTGCCGCTTTTCTTCTTTCGTTCGGTAAGTTCAGTGTGAACAACATTTAGCAGTAGCTGGTGAGAAGGGAGTGAATGGCGGAGAGTAGTGCATTTTTGCCAGGAGTACGTACCTGGGAACGCTGTGGAGATCACTGTTGGTTTTCCTATTGGATTCTGAGTTTGCGGGTCGCAGTAACCTGCCTGGGCCTGCGCCCGTGTACTGTCGTCCCATGGGCTCGCGGAAAGCCAGTGGTCGACTGGATCCCGTTTCCCAGTTCCGAGCCCCTTGGAGTCCAAGGGCCGAGCCGCCTAGGCAGGATGGCTTAGTGAGGAAGGGAATTCAGGTTTGTTTTAGCAGTTTCTGTGCTTCTGTTCTGTTACTAATTTCGGTTTCCCGCTGGGGATCAGTGTAACTTGAATTTTTTTGTTAGTAAAGATAAAAGCTTACCTAATTGCATTTTAGAAGGCAAAACCTTCCCGGGTTGGCAGTTAAAATATTTACCATTTTACCAAGAGCTGTAATTTCGCCAACCGTGTTCCTGATTGCCACCTATCCACAGCTGCCTGTGCTGCGTCTTTTTGCCAAGGGGCGCGGATGAGGATGGGGACTGCCTATTACTTGATAGGCATTAGGAATTAAAAGAAGAGACATTTATTGCCTTCAGAGATCTCGGTTTATTGAAAGGGAAATTCTGTGTTGTGCATTCTCGGTAGTGTTTCCCCTCCTTTTGTCATTAAATAGATGTCTAAAACTATTCAGACATTAACTGGGAGCTACTTACTTCAAAGTCCAAGAGTTGTGTGCCTTATTATTAACAATAATCTTTACTTTTTATTAAAACTTATAACTTTTGACTGTCACACTTTCTGAAGTCTGTAAACTTAATTCAACAAAAACTGATTGAGTGCCTAGTACATGACAGGTGCTGCTTTAGGTATATGCTTGGGATACATCTGTGAAGAGACAGGGCAGGCCAAAAACAAAACAAAATTTAAAAATCATTGTCCTTGCGGAATTAACATGTTACTGGGTGAAGACAGACAACAACAAACCTAATAAACTGTGTTAGAAGATAAATGCTATGGAAAGAAAATCAAGTGAAGTAAGAAGTCTGACAATTTGGGGATGGGTCAAAATGTTGAATAATGGAATCAGGATAGGCCCTACTGAGAAAAGATTTGAGCCAAGAATTGAAGGAAGTGAGAGAATTAACTGTGAATATCAGGAGCATTCCAGGAGAAAGAACAGTCCGTCCAAAGGAGCATGGCTGCCTGGCAACTTGTAGGACCTGTAAGGGGGCCAGTGTGTGTATTGATTAAGAGTAGAGATGAAGTCCTAGAGGTGGGGGTTAAGGACTGGCTGTTGCTCCGATGCATTAAAGCTTTTGGGGTATTTAATGAATCAGCTTTTTATTTTAGAATAATTTTAGGTTTATAGAAAAGTTGTGAAGATAGTACAGAGTTCCTATATACCCCACACCTGATTTCCCCTTTTATTAACATCTTACATTAGTATGGTACATACGTTATGACTGATGGATCAATACTGATACATCATTAACCAAAGTTCATACTTCATTTGGATTTCTTAGTGTTTACTAGATGTCCTTTTACTGTTCCAGAATCCCATTTGGTCATCATGGCTCCTTAGGTTCCTCTTGACTATGGCAGTATCTCACTTTCCTTGTTTTTGGTGACATTGACAGTTTTAAGGCACTCAGGTATTTGAAGAGGTACTGGTCAGGTATTTTCCACAATGTCCTTCAAATGGAGTTTGATGTTTTTCTCTCAGCCTGGTGCTAGGGGTTTTGGGGAGGAGGACCACAGACATGAAGTGCCATTCTCATTCCATCATATCAAGCGTGCATGCTATCAACTTGACTTTTATCATAGTTGATATTTACCATGATCACCTGGCTGACATAGTGTTTGTGAGGTTTCTCTAGTACAATGTTATTTTCCCCCTTTCTATTCTGTACTCTGGGAGCAAGTTGTTAAGCATAGCCCATACTTATGAATGGTTTTGCTCCACCTTTTTGAGAGGGAAGTCTCTGCATAAGTTATTTGGAATTCTTCTATAAGGGAGATTTGTTTCTTCTCTCCCATTAATTTACTTCTTCATTTATTTATATGAATATGGAATCATGGTTATTTTATGGTTTGGATTATAAGTCAGTACTTTGTTACTTACTTTGTAGCTCATATTGGTCCAGCTTTTGCCATTGGGAGCTCTTCACTTGGTTCCTGTGTCCCTTTGACATACTCTCATCATTTTGATTTTTTGAGTAGTTCCTTTCTAGTGCTACAAGATGCTCCAGGCTCATCTTTATATATTCCCTGAGGTAGCCCTCCAATCAGCCATTTCTCCATGGAATCCTGGTTTCTTTTATTAGAGAATGCTAAGATCAGGGTGCTGGGTGTGCTCATTGCTACGGGGATTCCATTGCTTTTTAGTCTTCTTAGCTAACGGAGCTAACCCACGTATTCATTGATGTCTGTGATTATTTCTATATCCATCACTATCTATATTTAGCTAAACATGAGCTCAAACTCTAATCCTGTGCCATTGGATCACATGGATTTATTCTGGCTTTCTCCTCTTGTTTATATGTTACTTCTCACTCCAACAGTGAGAAACCTGGCTCATTGGAAGGTTTTGAGAAGAGGAGTTGGTTGACATGATCTGATTTAGGATTTTAATTAGATGATTGCTGCCATGAAGAAGAGATCTTAGGGAAGTTAGAATGGAAGCCAGACGGCCAGTGAGGAGGCTTTTGTTGAAATTTAAGTGATAAGAAAAAGAGTAACATAGTGTGAAGCCAAATGAGTTGGGTTGGTATATTATGTTTAACTTGGGAGGAAGAAGTATGGTAAAGGAAATATTTTATCATTACCTATTTGATTGAAGGGCCTGAGGATTAAATAAGCATCTCTTCTAAGGAAATTAAGCATTTCTTCTAAGGAAGCCTTGATACAAAATGTATATAAACAACCAGCCAAGCAATGGCTGATGATTTGAACTAGAAATTGTTATGCTATATGGCAATGTTTGAAGTCTGAAGTCTGGATGAGAGTTATGAAATTTTGAGGTACTTCTGAATTCTGAGCTGAGCAGACCATAGATCTAACCCATTAACTGATTCAGACATTCAGAAACAAACACTGTTCATCAGAGACTGTGCTGGATGCTGAGAGTAGAAAATGAGCAAGGCAAAATTCTGGATTTCATGGCACTAAGGATTTAGTAGTTAACTCTTCTAAAACCTATTCATAATTAATTTTGAGAGACTGGTTCAGTTGCTGAAAATTTTTCTGAAGTCTGGCTCTTTTAATGGGACATCTTGCATTGATTCCCACAACTTCATTGCTTTTTCCACATCACAGGAAAGACTTGCAGAGCTTGAGTGAGCCAGAATCTGGTGGATTCACTGAAATACACCATTGTATTCTATTTTGATGTGTTATTACAGTTTTGTAATAATTTAATAACTTTATCATAGTAAAAGCTACCATTTATTGAGGGCTTCTTATGTGCTAAATACTGTTTCAGGTGTTTTTAGAATAACTCATTTGCAAGGTAGGTATTATATTCTTCTGGGGAAAAAATGGAAGCACACAAATTAAATAACTTTTCCAAAATATACATGTAGTTCATAAACCTAATCTTTCTGTTTTTAGTATACATCAGTACAGTAGGTTGTAATTATTTGTGTCTAAATAAACATGACTTTTTCTACATCACAGAAGCAATGCATGTTCGTTAAGAATAGTTTAACAGTACAAATATGCAAAACAGAAAGTTATGGTTTACTTCTTAACAGAAAGATGTTATGATTTAGTGAAAATACGCTGGACCAGGAACTAAAATTGGGTTCCAGACCACATACTCCTTGGATAGCTGGATGCCCTTGAGTAAATGATTGATTTTTCATTTTCCACATACATAAGGTAAGAAGGTTGTTAATTCTAGTTCTAGGAGTCGGGATTTCTTCAGTCTCTTCTAGCTCTTTCATTTTATGTGATTCTATAACAAAGCATTCTTTGTGCTTATTGTTGAAGAGAATTTTTTAAACAATAATAACCTCCTTTGCCCATTTTTGTTGAGTCAACCTAGGTTCTAACTCATTTGGCAAAAATAGGATGTAGTTAATGTATAATTACTATGTATGGTTTTGCTGAACTCCAAATAACACATTTATTATAACTTAATTCTTACCCTTATTGTATTAAAATAATAAGATTTCACTGTTAAACTTTAACCAACTTTATAATTAACTTGTTCTTTAGTTTTTTAATAATACAGAAGTGGGCACCTGGCCATTTCCAAGACACATTTGACTCACGGATCTATTTTCTGCTTGTCATAGCCTCAGAAGAGAACAGTCACCACACTCATGGCAGGGATTTTGCGCTCAATAGTTCAGAGGCCCCCAGGCAGACTCCAAGTAAGTGTTTCAAGTATTATCGCTCTTTTTTTTTTTATTCTTTAAGAACTGTTTCTTTCTCTTTTTTAATGAATAAAACAACTGGGCAGGTTTAACTGCACCGTTCCTTTTTTTATATATGTTTTTTAATGTTGAGGATCAGTCTTATTTATGGTTTATCTGCTGTTTCATCACTAAAGATTTGAAATCACAAAAGATTTTTCCTGGAGAACATGCTGGTAAAAAATGGCTAGTATTGGTTTCCCCTTAATCTTTTTAAAGTTTAAGGGTTTATTCTCTTTCAGTTATGAAAAGAGTATATCTTCAATCATAGAAAAATAGAAAACTGTGGAAGAGCAGAAAGAAGAAAAGCACTCTCCCAGAAACCATTCATGCTTGTATTTTCATGTATTTCCTTCTAGTCTTTCTTACAGAAATTATAGCAGCTCAGCCTAATCTATTCATGAGAGCCCGAGTCTAGATACAGGCGTGCTGCTGGCTGTAGGTAATAATATTAGGTGCTTTACACAGATTACCTTAACCTTAGATTAATCCTGTGGGGTCAGTATTATTTCCTTTTAAAATAGCTGAGGAAATTGACTCTGAGAGGATAAGTGTCTCATTTCTCACAGATGATAAGCACAGAACCAGGATTAGAAGCCCATATTTTTCCTTTCCCTCGCTCATTCGCTCCTGCTTACTCTCTAATTATGTGTGGACCTCAGCAGGACAGAAGGGGCATGAAGGGAATGAATATTGCCTATCCAGAGAGGAGTTTCCAGATACGAGGGATTGGCAGTGAATCCTTTCTCTTTAGCCGACTGAGAGCAGCAGGACTAGAAGATTGCCGAAGGGGAACAAGAGATAGGAACTAGTAGTGATGGCCTTGTAGGGACCAGAAAGACAACCGTAAACTCATTTCTTTTTACAGTGTATTGTTGAAGGCTGTTATTGCACATCGTGTGGAGCAGGGGTTGGCAAACTACAGTCTGCAGGTCAAATTCAGCCCACCTATTTTCTTAAATCAGGCTTTATTGGAATGTAGCCACGCCCACATGTTTACATATTGTTCGGGGCTCCTTTTGCCCCCCAGTGGCAGAGTTGAGACTTGGCAATGGAAACCATACAGCCCCAGAGCTGGAAATAGCTTCATGTTTAGTCCTTTACAGAAAAATATTGCCAACCTCTGGTCAAGAAGTCTCTATTTCACTCATATGTGGAATTTAAGTTAACAAAACAAATGAACATAGGGGAAAAAAGAAAAAAGAGGAGCAAACCAAAAAACAGACTCTTAACTCTAGAGAACAAACAGGGTTATGAGAAGGGAGGTGGGTAGGGGATGGGCTAAATGGGTCATGGGGATTAAGGAGGGCACTTGCAATGAGCACCAGCTGTTTTATGTAAGTGAGGAATCACTAAATTCTACACCTGAAATATTACACTGTATGTTAACAAACTGGAATTTAAATAAAAACTTGAAAAAAAAAACAGAGAAGTCTATATTTATATGAGCTTTTTGCTTTCTAATGTTAGTGGTAAGATGAATATATTCATTCAGCTAAGGGGCTGAGATAAATGTTTGATAATTATAGGTTAGGTAAAAACACTTTTGTCACCTAAAAATTGGTGGGTATGGATTTCTGCACTAGACAGAGTTCTTAAAAAAAATGTTTATATCATGTTTTAGACTGTGACAAAAGGTGTGGAGTCTCTTATTTGCACGGATTGGATTCGTCACAAATTTACCAAGTCAAGAATTCCAGATAAAGTAAGAAGAAGGGTTGGGGGTGGGGGGCAGTTAGTGTTACTATTTTTTTAAGCATGTGCTGTTTTAAAAGATACCTACTTTTGTAATATTGAAAACTTTTATATTAAATTATTTGTGGATGTTGGTGGTAGGGCAGAGTTTAAATAAAGCATGGTAGAATTTATCTAAATGATTCTTTTTTTTTAAATGTACCACTGTTCTTTGTAGTAGTCGGTTTTTATCATCTTAGAATCTGTTTATTCCTGCTTATGGTTTTTTGCCGTAATAGTTTGTGTTTTCATATCACCATTGTCCTCAGAAAACAATGAGTCTTCTTCCTGCTCAGACACTGTCTATGTGGGTCTGTGTTCACTTTCTGTCTTGACTATTGCAACTTGGAATCTTTGCGAGAGAACTGCTAGATTTATGTGTACATATCATTCTTTCGGAAAACACTAGCTACATTGCTTTTCGTGTTTTTTTCCTACGTTAGCCACATAGAACCACTTGGTTTTCCCAAATATTTCAGGCTCTTTACACAGTTTCTTTATATCTTCTCTCCTTTTCTTTGGCATGCCTGCCCCATACTCTGTCTTCCACCATTCTTCTCACCCTGCGTCTCTTCAAAACCCCTAGAAAATACAGACAAGCAAAAACAACTGAAAAGCACCCTTAATCCCACCTACCTGGAGACAGCTACTGTCAATACCTTCCACATCCTTTTCTGTTGTATGTTTTTAAAGATGTGAATCATCTCATGTATAATGTTTCTCTAATTGCTTTCTTCATTTAGCAATATAATGGGAGCCTCTCAGTAGATAAGTTTCTACAATATTATTTTCATGATTGAATTATATGCTTTTTGATTAAAGTGCCATCTTCTGTGTGTGTGATTCCCCAGAGATAGGACTCTTGATCTAATATCTTTGAAACCTTTATACATACATAAGTGTGTGTGTGTATAACATGATTTCTTAGAATCAGTATTTATGTAATGTATCATATATACAAACCTGTGTATTTTGGTACACATGAAACAAATACAGGAGCCTACTACAGGGGCGCCTTGGTGGCTCAATCAGTTAAGCGTCTGCCTTTGGCTCCGGTCATGATCCCAGAGTCCTGGGTTTGAGCCCCAAGTCAGGCAGGGGGTCTGCATCTCCCTTTCCTTCTGCCCCTTCCCCCTGCTCATACTCTCTCTCTATCTCTCCTTTTTCTCTCAAATAAATAAATAAAATCTTTAAAGAAAAAGATCCTATTACACATGGTTGTGTGGATTTTTTTTTCTTTTGCTCAAGAATGTATTATGGCTTTCTTCAGCATTAGTAGCTGCTAAGATAGTAAGCTGTTATTTGTTTTAATGGCAGCACTGTATCCCATTGGATACATCATAGTTTAGTTATATTGTATTTTGTTTGGTTTTGTTATTAGTTTGTTAGTTTTATTTAGAATGTATGCATCCTAATTCATTTAGTTATTCTATGAGGAACATGGATGTGCCCTTTAAATTTTTCAGTATTACAAGTAGTATTACCATGTACATCCTTATTCAGTACATTTTATGTACTTAGGGAAGGTTTTCGTGGGATAGCTTACTGGAACATCTTGATTCTTAGAGAATCAGTTCACATAGCAGCTTTGTGGAGCCGTTTCTAATCCTTCATAGGCAGTCATTTGTACTCTTCTAGTACTTTGTACGTACTTTTTTTATGATCCTCAAGTGTTATTGTCATTGTAAGCTTAGCTTTGTGCCCCTGATTGAACGCGGTGAAGGGATGCAGCTGTGCCCAGCTTATACAGTGCTCATACAGTCTCCTGACATTTGAACTCTTCAGTGTCCTCTGGTGGCTCCTGCTTCACTCTTAAAACAGTTTTTGCCTATGTGATACTTTTTTCAGATTATGGAATTATTAGACTTTTTCTATCTAAGTAATCAGATGGGTATAAATGTTCAATTTGAGGATAGGATTATAGAAAGATTTGGGATGAGATCGTTATGTGGTTGTTTGGGTTTTTTTTTTTTTTTTTCTTAAGGAAAAAAAGGAGATACTTAGAAGCATAGATACATAGAAGTTGAAAATTTACCATTTATAATTCTCCTTTCTTAGGTATTTCAGCCTTCACCTGCAGATCATGAAAAATACGGTGGGGATCCACAGCACCCTCATAAACTGCATATTGTTACCAGAATAAAAAGTACAAAAAGACGTCCATATTGGGAAAAAGATATAATAAAGATGCTTGGATTAGAAAAAGTATGCAACTATTTAAGTCATCTTACGTGTTGTTTAAATTTGCTTTAAATTTTATAATTCTTAAACTTTAAGGTGTATTTTTACAGTTTCTTTTGTTTAAATGTATTATTTAGTGTAATTTATTTGAAACTTTGATTTAGACAAAATAAGCCTTCATTTTCACATTTTGCTGAAACATGGGACCATCTGCTCTGAAACTGATCCATTACATGGTTTCCTTTCTTTCTAGGCACATACTCCTCAAGTTCACAAGAATATCCCTTCAGTGAACGCAAAACTGAAAGTGGTTAAACATTTGATAAGGTTTGTTGTTTGTCAGCGATTTTTTAAAATGTGTTACCTAATATAATTCTAAAAGCATTTTCTTATGTCACAGGATCAAGCCCCTGAAGTTGCCCCAAGGACTTCCAGCAGAGGAGGACATGTCTAACACGTGCCTCAAGAGCACTGGGGAATTAGTGGTGCGGTGGCATCTAAACCCCATAGACCAGGAAGCAGTTAAGTCCTAAGGCCAGAGCAGTTTCATATTAAAAAATGTAAATCATTTTTATTTAAAGGTAGTGAGAAAGTGTTCTCATTAAAATATATTTTAAATACTAGTCCTTGTCACTGGCTAAACATGGTGTGATTCTTCCTTATATAGGCTTGGAGGTTTCAGTGCTGTTATTTGGTTTAAGACTCTCTCTTTTCCCTCTGATCGTTTCATTGCAGAATGGGCAAGAATGGTGTTATTTGAACATCTGGGTTTAGATGTCACCTTAGCAATCACCATTGATTTTTCTTTTTTTTTTCACCATTGATTTTTTTTAAAAATACTGTTTTCTCTTTTAATTGAATTCAACAGATTCTGTGAGTGTCCCTTTGAGTGAGCAGTGTGTTATATGTGGAGAAATGCACAGCTGACCAGAACACGGTCCCTGCCCATCAGGAGCTTAGTCTGTTTTGCTAGGGAACAGAGACTCAGCCACAGTCATTAAACATTAGGTGTAGCTAGATTGGCTGCTTTGTGCTTTAGTGTCTATAAATATTTATGTAGACTTGACTGCATTTTATTCTTAAGCTTAATACCAAAAATAGTATCTGTTTTCTAATTATAAATTTAATTTGACCTAAATTTTATTGATGTTCTTTGAATTCCTCAGAAACTGCCAACAGTTGAGATTGTTATTTATTTTTTTTTTTAAAGATTTTATTTATTCATTTGAGACACAGATAGATATATAGAGAGAGCATGAGCAGTGGGAGAAGCAGAGGGTGAGGGAGAAGCAGACACCCCGCTGAGCCAGGAGCCCAACGTGGGGCTCGATCCCAGGACCCTGGGATCATGACCTGAGCCGAAGGCAGACGCTTAACCATCTGAGCCACCCAGGCGCCCCGAGATTGTTATTTAAAAGACGAAAAAGAAGGGAGAAATCTTTTTAGGGAGAATTTTTTTTTTTTTCCCTTTTTTTCTATTTCAGATACCTGGAGGGATTGGGAGAAGTAAGAATTTTAGGAGAGGTTCAGTACTGGGAAATTTTGTGGCAGCTAATTGAAGATGATGGTGAAGAATCTCTGAATTCTAATTACCTGTTATTTTCCTTTGTCTCTTGTGAGATTTAGGTTGGGCAACAGTAACATTGGCATACTACTCATAATTTGTGGTCCCAATATCCATCCTGTCGTGGGTCTTGATGTTTTGGGGCATCAAGTAGAAGTGCCACCTAAAATGAAGCCAGATATCATTAATTTTGTTTTTAAGATTTATTTCTTTATTTTAATCACAATGAGATACCACCTCACACCAGTCAGAATGGCTACAATTAACAAGTCAGGAAACAACAAATGTTGGCAAGGATGTGGAGAAGGGGGAACCCTCCTACATTGTTGGTGGGAATACAAGCTGGTACAGCCATTGTAGAAAACAGTATGGAGGTTCCTCAAGAAGTTGAAAGTAGAGCTACCCTATGACCCAGCAATTGCACTACTAGGGATTTACCCCAAAGATACAAATGTAGTGATCCGAAGGGCCACCTGCACCCCAATGTTTATAGCAGCAATGTCCACAATCGCCAGACTATGGAAAGAGCCCAGATGTCCATCGAAAGATGAATGGATAACAAGGATGGTATATACATACAATGGAATATGGATTGACTAGCCATCAAAAAGGATGAAATCTTACCATTTACATTGATGTGGATGGAACTGGAGGGTATTATGCTGAGTGAAATAAGTCAATCAGAGAAAGACAATTACATGGTTTCACTCATATATGGAATATGAGAGTGCAGAGGATCATAGAGGTAGGGAGGGAAAACTGAATGGGAAGAAATCAAGGAGACAAACCATGAAAGACTCTTAACTCTAGGAAACAAACAGGGTTGCTGGAGAGGGGTGGGGGGTAGGGGGATGGGGTAACTGGGTGATGGGCATCAAGGAGGGCATGTGATGCAATGAGCACTGGGTGTTTTATGCAGCTGATGAATAACTGAACTCTACATCTGAAAGTAATGATATACTATATGTTGGCTAATGGAATTTAAATTTTAAAAAAAGATTTATTTATTTCTTAGAAAGAACAAGGAGGAAGGGCAGAGGGAGAGAAAGAATCCTCAAGCACTCCTCGCTGAGTGCAGAGCACAATGTGAGGCTTGATCCCAGGACCCTGAGACCATGACCTGAGCTGAAACCAAGAGCTGACGCTCAACCAACTGAGTCACTCAGGCACCCCTTATACTACCTTAAGACCATACCAGTTCTCTCAAAGTCTTCTCAATCTAAAATTGTGCCTCTTCTAGGTATATCTTTTCTCCTTATAATACTAATACATTCTAACTGGCACAGTTTCACCAAGAATAATTTGGAATTACACTGGCCATGGAGGGGCGGGGCGGGGGGGGCTTTTGACATGAACAAGATTGTGTATTTGGGAGGTAACTTACAACAAAGAGTGAAGAAATCCCATGAGGAGATTATTTGTCTGTTTTTCTGAACACACAGGATAAATTATTTGCTCAGGGAGGGCTTCCCTGATAGCAGTAAGTACAAACTCCCCTCTCCAGGAACAAAGGAGCTGGCTGGTGCCATTTCCCTCTCCCACCCCTAAGCATAAACCATCTTCAGTAAACAGCACAGCACCAAAACTGGCTGCTTAAATTGCTTACACCAAAACCTGATGCCCTGTACTCTGCTGGTACTCTGCTGCTTTTCTCAGGCAAGTGTATCTGAGAACCAGCACAGTGGCCCCTCCCCCTGAAGACCAGCACAAACCCCCACCTACACCAAGTCTACTGACCATAGAGTACTGCGGAGCTTCACCTCTAGTGGAAATAGCTTCAGGTCTCTTTTAACAAGCAGACCAGAGCACACCTAATTAAAACTTGCCACAGTGTGGCCAAGGTCCAAACACTCCCCACTACAGACAAGGAGAAACCCTGCAGAGGACTGACCTGAGGGATAGAGGAGCCATAACACAGCAGCAGAGGGTACACAGCATACACCAGAGACATTTCCTAAAGCACCAGGTCCGGGGCATTATATGACCTCTTCATAAAGCCATTACTCTCAGGAGTAGGAAACGTACCAGGCTTCCTAACACTCAGAAGACAGAGACCTAGACAAAATGCCAAGATGGAGGCATTTATCCCAAAAGAAAGAACAAGAAAAGGTCACAGTCAGGGTTGTAATGGAAACAGATACAAGTAATATGCCTGATCCAGAATTTAAAACAACAATCATAAGGATACTAGCTGGACTTGAGAAAAGCATAAAAGACATGAGCAGGTCCCTCGCCACAGAGATAAAAGAGCTTAAAACGAATTAGGCCAAAATAAAAAATGCAATAACTGAGATTCAAAACCAACTGGATGCAATGAACACAAGGATGGAAGAAGCAGAGGAACGAATAAGTGATACAGAAGATAGAATTATGGAAAATAAGCTGATCAAAAGAGAGAAAGAAATCAGAAAGTAGAATTAGGGAACTCAATGATTCCATGAAACATAATAACATTCCTATCATAGGAGTCCCAGAAGAAGAAAATAGGGAAAAGGGGGCAGAATGTTTGAGGGAATTATAGCTGAAAACTTCCCTAATCTGGGAGAGAAAACAGACTTCCAAATCCAGGAAGCACAGAGAACTCCCATGAAAATCAACAAAAGTAGGCCAGCACCAAGACATAATTTAAATTTGCAAAATATAAAGAAAAAATCCTAAAAGCTGCAAGACAAAATAAGTCCCTAACTTACAAGGGAAGATAAATAAGGGTAGCAGCAAAGCTCTCCACAGAAACTTGGCAGGCCAGAGAAGAGTGGCATGATATATTCAACGTGCTGAATGGGAAAAGTCTACAGCCAAGAATGCACTATCCAGCAAGGCTACCATTCAGAATCGGAGAGATAAAGAGTTTCCCAAACTAGGGGCACCTAGTTGGCTCAGTCAGTTAAGCATCTGCCTTTGGCTCAGGTCATGATCCCAGAGTCCTGGGATCGAGCCCCATGTCTGGTTCCCTGCTCAGTGGGGAGTCTCCTTCTCCCTCTCCCTCTGCCCCTCCCCCTGCTCCTTCTCTTTCTCTCTCTCTCTCACTCTCTAGCTCTCAAATAAATAAAATCTTAAAAAAAAAAAAAAGTTTCCCAAACTAAAACTAAAGGAGTTTGTGTCCACTAAACCAGCCCTACAGGAAATATTAAAGGGGACTCTTTGAGTGAGAAAAACACTAAAGAGAAAATCCACAGAAGAAAATGACAAAACAAGCAATAAAATGGCACTAACTTCATATCTATCAATAATTACCCTGAAAGTAAGTAGACTAAGTGCTCCAATCAAAAAACACAGGATGTCAGAATGGATTAAAAAACAAGAGCCATCTAGATGCTGCCTACAAGAGACTCATTTTAGATCTAAAGACACCTGCAAATTGAAAGTGAAGGAAGGGAGAAATATTTTTCATGGCAATGGATATCAAAAGAAAGCCAGAGTAGCAATACTTATATCAGACGAACTAGATTTTAAACCAAAGACTGTAACAAGAGATGAAGAATGGCACTATATCATAATAAAAGGGTCATTCCAACAAGAAGATCTAACAATTGTAAATATTTATGCCCCCAACTTGGGAGCACCCAAATATATAAAATAATAACAAACATAAAGGAATTCAATGACAGTACAATAATAGTAATGGACTTTAACACCCCACTTACATCAATGAACGGATCATCTAAGCAGAAAATCAACAAGGAAACAATGGCTTTGAATGACACACGACCAGATGGACTTAACAGATTTATTCAGAACATTTCATCCTAAAGCAGCAGGATACACATTCTTTTTAAGTGCACATAGGACTTTCTTCAGAATAGATCACTTTTAAGTCACAGGTCAGGTCTCAACAAGTACAAAAAGATTAAGATCACACCATGAATATTTTCTGACCACAACACTATGAAACGTGAAGTCAACCACAAGAAAAAATTTGGAAAGACCACAAAGACATGGAGGCTAAAGAACATCCTACTAAAGAATGAATGGATCAATCAGGAAATTAAAGGAGAATTAAAGAAGAAATAAAAAAAATACATGGAAACAAATGAAAACACAACAGTCCAAAACCTTTGGGATGCAGCAGAAATGGTCATAAGAGAGAAGTATATAGCAATACAGGCCTACCTCAAAAAGCAAGAAAAACCTCAAATACATAATCTAACCTTACACCAAGAGGAGCTAGAAAGAGAACAACAAATGAAGCCTAAAGCCAGCAGAAGAAAGAAAAGCAGAGCTGCAGGCATCACAATTCCAGACTACAAGTTATCAAGACAGTATGGTATTGGCACAAAAACAGACACATAGATCAATGAAACAGAATAGAAAACCCAGAAATGAACACAACTATATGGCCAACTAATCTTCGACAAAGCAGGAAGGAATATCCAATGGAAAAAAGACTATTTCTTCAACAAATGGTGTTGGGAAAACTGGACAACAACATGCAAAAGAATGAAACTGGACCATTTTTTTTTACAACAAAAATAAGTTCAAAATGGATGAAAGACCTAAATGTGAGACAGGAAAAATCCTAGAGAACACAGGCAGGAACCTCTTTCTCATCAGCCATAGCAACTTCTTACTAGATGGGTCTCCTGAGGCAAGGGAAGCAAAAGCAAAAATGAAGAGATTTTATCAGGATAAAAACTTCTGCACAGCAAAGGAAACAATCTAAAAGGTAGCTGTCAAAATGGGAGAAAGATATTTGCAAAGATATTTGCAAATGACATATCTGATAAAGGGTTAGTATCCAAAATGTATAAAGAATTTATCAAACTCAACACCCCCCAAAAAATAATCCAGTTTAAAAATGGGTAGAAGACATGAATAGACATTTTTCCAAAGAAGACATCCAAATGACTAATAGACACATGAAGAGATGTTCAACATCACTCATCATCAGGGAAATACAAATCAAAACTACGATGAGATATCACCTCACACCAGTCAGAATGGATAAAATTAACAACACAGGAAACAACAGATGTTGGCAAAGATGCAGAGAAAGGGGAACCCTTGTGCACTGTTGGTGGGAATGCAAACTGGTGCAGCTACTCTGGAAAACAGTATGGAGGTTCCTCAAAAAGTTAGAAATACCCTACAACCCAGCAATTGCGCTACTACATATTTACCCAGAGGATACAAAAATACTGATTCAAAGGGATACATGCACCCCAATGTTTATAGCAGCATTATCAACAAATAGCCAAATTATGGGAAGAGCCCAAATGCCCATCGGCTGATGAATGGAAAAGAAGAGGTGATATATATATATACAATGGAATGTTACTCAGCCATAAAAAAGAAGGAAATCTTCCCATTTGCAATGATGAGGATGGAGCTAGAGAGTATTATACTAACTGAAATAAGTCAATCGGAGAAAGACAAATACCACATATGATCTCACTCAAATGTGGAATTTAAGATACAAAACAGATGAACATAGGAGGGGGAAAAAAGAGAGAGAGGGGCAAACCAGAAAACAGACTCTTAACTATAGAGAACAAACTGAGTGGAGGGGAGGTTGGCAGGGGAATGGGTTAAATGGGTGATGGGTATTAAGGAAGACACTTGTGATGAGCACTGGATGTGGTATGTAAGTGATAAATCACTAAATTCTACACCTGTAACTAATACTACACTGTATGTTAACTAACTGGAATTTAAATAAAAACTTGAAACTAAAACAAAAACCAAAACCTGCCACAATGTTATATAATGTTATACTAACTGTTAACATTGTTTATATATTATAAACAATTTAAACCGGATACAATAATTACAGAGAAACACAAATATGTATACAACATAATGGATATGACTTTCTACTTATTAAGGTGGTAAATTTAGTACAATGTATAATTTTCTATTTAATATACTGATAAATCCTATTTTAATGCTGTAGACATAAGCTTTAAGTTTATTAAATATAGACCCCCATGCCTAAATACATATAAAGGTATATTAATAAATTACTGTAATCTGTGCATGAATAATGTGAAATAAAAGTAAAAATAGCATTTGAGTAGACCAACGTAATTTTGCCCAGAGACTCATTATTTCCTTATCACTTATCACATATCTTGTCCTCTCTAAAAACTATGCTTGATTTTGCCTTTCTCAAAATCATACCCAAATTTGAAAGAGTAAAGTTAAGATAAACTTTATTCTTAAACTATCTGTGGATTTTCTAAAGTGACCATCAGATAACAAAGATTTGCTCTTCACCACATAAAATGATTGCTGTTCACCACATAGGAATGATTGTCTAAAAATTCTCCAAACGTTAATTCAAAATAATTACCAAACTTAATTTTTTTTTAAAGATTTTATTTATTTATTTGAGAGAGAGAGAATGAAAGACAGAGAGCATGAGAGGGAGGAGGGTCAGAGGGAGAAGCAGACTCCCTGCCGAGCAGGGAGCCCGATGCGGGACTCGATCCCGGGACTCCAGGATCATGACCTGAGCCAAAGGCAGTCGCTTAACCAACTGAGCCACCCAGGCGCCCCCAAACTTAATTTTTTTTAAGTAGGCTCCACACCCATCATGAAGGTGTTCAGGATTTGAACTCATGACCCTGAGATCAAGGCCTGAGCTGAGATCAAAAGTTGGATGCTTAACCGACTGAGCCACCCAGATGCCCCCAAACTTAATATTAACAGAAACCTGACAAATTAAAAAGAGAGTTGATCTGCCTAGGTTAATTATATATAGGTAAAGTCTATTAAATATATTTTAATGAATATGCATTTTTCAAGTTAAAAGAAATATAGCTATGATTTTAGACAGAAAAACTATAATTCATTTTAATTTATTTTATTGATATAAATTGATATATATTTATTTTTATATATAAGGTATTTATATATCTTCCAAACAATTGTTTCCATTTATCTAGGTTCATAAATCCTCCCCTCGCCACACCCCCTTTCATTTTATTATAAATCTGAAAAGGCACTAGGGAACTGATTCAATTAAGTGGAAACCATCAGAGGCCCATTGCTATATTTAATCTTAATTAGATTCAGTAGCCAAGACATATATATCCACCTTGTTAAGAACAAGAGCAGCAACAAAAATGTAAATACTAGTTTATTCAGTTCTAGGGTCTCTACTAAACTTAATGGTTTCCCACGCTGTGCTATGTAGACTTTTCCATTGACAACAAACTCTCAGCATTTTTCAGCAAGTCACCTAATGTATGAAGTGTTGTTGCTGTCTCTTTATACATCACTGTCCAATATTACAACACCCTAAACCCTACTACCTTTCTCCACGGGTCTGTGGTGTCATGCATCAATCTAAGAAATTCAGACAAAAGGATCAATGATTTGCCAAGGACAATTCAACACTTCTAACAGAGTAAACCCTAAATACATTCCTGTTGGGATGTTAAATTAAGTATTTTTCATTGTATTTATTAAATTCTCCTCATTTAGTCTGTTTATTGTCATGCTCATTCCACTCTTTTCCCTGGGTTTAAATAAATCCTGTGTTTGTCTTACTCATCTTCAGGTTTGCATTATTATGTTTGGTCAAATTTGTCCCCCATGACTCTTTGTCATTTAGACACGCATCTCATTTATTGCTTTCTTGTCCTCTGGTTCAGAGATACTAGAGTTCTTAGAGAGGGTCTAGGAGCCACTGGCAGGGAGTGGTACTTTTATTAAGGCATTTTCTGTATTTGGTAATCCTAATTTGGTAAAATCTGAGTGCAGGGCTTCAACTTAGTACAATTGCAAGAAACTGCCTTCCCATAGGATGGACTATAGAATAGAACTTGGAAAGGCCCCTCAACCAAAAGCTCCCTTCCATCACTCTGTAGGGGATCTGACATTCTTCTATTAGAAATGCAGTCATTTAAGGAAGAAGCAAAATTGTCTTTATTTTCAGATGGCATAATTTTATACATAGAAAATCCTAAAGACTCCACCAAAATACTGTTAGATCTAATTAACAAATTCAGTAAAGTTACAGGACACAAAGTTAACATACAAAAAAGTCAGTTGCATTTCTATTAACAAATTATCTGAAAAAGAAATGAAACAATCCCACTTACAATAGTGTCAAAACCAATACAATACTTAGGAATAAATTTAACCAAAGAGGTAAAAGATTTCTATAGTGAAAAACCACAAGACATTGATGAAAGAAATGAAAGATGACACAAATGGAAAGATACATTTCATGTTCATGGACTGGAAAAATTAATGTTAAAATGCCCCTACTGGGGTGCCTGGGTGGCTCAGTCGGTTAAACATCTGTCTTCGGCTCAAGTCATGATCCCAGCATCCTGGGATCAAGCCCTGTGTCATGCTCCCTGCTCAGAGAGGAGTCTGCTTCTCCCTCTCCCTCTACCTCTCTTCCCTGCTTGTGCGCGCTCTCTCTCTCTCTCAAATAAAACCTTAAAATATATATATAATGAATATTATTCAGCCATTAAAAAAGAAGGAAATCCTGCCATTTGCAACAATATGAATGGACCTTGACGGCATTATGTTAAGTGAAAGATGTCAGAGAAAGACAAATATTGTATGATATCACTTACATGTGGAATCTTTTCATCTTTAAAAAAAACAACAACAATAGGGGCGCCTGGGTGGCTCAGTCATTAAGCGTCTGCCTTCGGCTCAGGTCATGATCCCAGGGTCCTGGGATCGAGCCCCACATCAGGCTCCCTGCTCGGTGGGAGGATCAATGATTTGCCAAGGACAATTCAACACAACTCCCTCTCCCACTCCCCCTGCTTGTGTTCCCTCTCTCACTGTATCTCTCTCTGTCAAATAAATAAATAAAATCTTTAAAAAGAAAAAAAAACATAGAGGAAAACATCAGCTTTGTGGTTACCAAGGGTTGGGGGTGGGGAGGTGGGGAATTGGATGAAGGTGGCCCAAGGTACAAACTTCCAGTTATAAGGTAAGTACTAGGGATGTAATGTAATGTACAACATGATGACTATAGTTAACATTGCTGTAAGATATATTTGAAAGTCAGAGAGTAGATCCTAAGAGTTCTCATCACAAATTAAAGAAAAATCTTTTTTTTCTTTTTCTGTAGCTATATGACATGATGGATATAAACTGAATTTACTGTGGTCATCACTTCACAGTATATGTAAGTTAAATCATTACACCTTGAACTTACACAGTGCTGTATGTCAGTTATATCTCAATAAAACTGGGGGGAAAGCTGAACTAAAATAGATCTACAAAAAGAAAGAAAGAAATGCAGTCATTTATTTTCCTTGAGTCTTCAGGAATATCAGTGAAGGGGTGACTATTCAGAAAAGTTACCTCTGACTGCTAACTATCTGACCTCCTCAAGTTATCATTTCAGTCTGATGGGGGAAGGAAGTGGGAAAGTGAGATCCTCAGGGAGTAGCAGGCTAGATGCAGAACAGATGGAGGTGGTGCTCAAGGGAGAAAGCCAGAATTGGGTAGAAGAAGCCCTGAAAGAGAGGGGACTTGGAATGGCACATTTTGCCTACTTAAATCTCATAGCAAAGTTTGAGTTGGGATAATTTTCATGCTATAAGATAAAAACAGCCCATAATCTCCTCTAATGTTTTACAGCCCAAATCCCAACAGCCAGCAAAACCAGCCTTCCCTGCTTTGCTGTCATACCTGCATCAGCCCAAATCGATTTTCTATGTCTCCCCAGCTATTCCTGAGAACTCTCCGAACTCTCCCAGCATGACTCTCCCGTGAAATGAGGGCCACAGTGTGTGAAGGGTCCACAGAAAACCATTTCCCAACCTCTTGGATATTGGCTTTGTAGGATAACATCCTTTAAAGATCCATTGCTGCAATCATTTTGGAGGCAATAACTCCTGAGGACAGGAGGAGAGAGGGTGCTGTCTCTAAAATGGAGCATGCCTTCCCAAGGGAGAGAGCATGGTCAACTGGGGTAAGGAAAATAAGTACCAGAAATTCTATTTGTTTTTTCATCTCATCCTTCAAATTTATATTTTTGTATATATTTCATAATGTCATAAAGTGCATGTGAAAAATGGGGAAATATATTGTGGTATCCTCTAAAAATTCTTCACTAACAGTGATGTACAATCAAGAAAGTGTTGGTAGATGTCTTTATGGAGCGGCTTTAAAGAGACCATCTATGTGAGTTGTTCCTAAAAGGCATCACCCTGGAAAGGGCTCCTCTTGTCTGCCAGGTTGGAAACTATTCCCCTGGGCCATTGTGGTGTCCAAATGAGTTAAACCTGGCTCATTAAATCTCTAAATTTGAATGAAAACAACCTTGCCCAGGTTAATCGCATGGTTCTTAGTCTGTGTGTTTGCTTTTTGCAACACCTGACTCCAAACAACTTTTGGAGGTTTCCTAATATCACATCTACCTTTACAGGAGACCTGCTTTCATGGGTGATATTTAAAAATTTCTTCCCAGACGCACCTGGGTGGCTCAGTTGGTTGGGCGACTGCCTTCGGCTCAGGTCATGATCCCAGAGTCCCTGGATCGAGTCCTGCATCTGGCTCCCTGCTCAGTGGGGAGTCTGCTTCTCCCTCTGACCCTCTCTCCTCCTAATCTCTCTCTCACTCTCTCTCTCTCAAATAAATAAATAAATAAAAATCTTTAAAAAAAAATTTCTTCCCAGACAATTCCAAAGAAGAATGTTTTAAATTATGCTGAGAATTTCCAAGGTAACAGAATGAAGTGGGGGACAAGGTTTTTGGGGGTATATAAACCCTTTTTTTAAGTTTTAATTTTTATTCCAGTTGGTTAACATAGTGTTATATTAGTTTCAGGTGTACCATATAGTAATTCGATTATTCCATACATCACCTGGTTAAGCTGTTGTATTTTACATTTCAAAATTAGCCACAACATTGTACATGTGTGAAACTGAGTAGGGTTTTTTGTTTGTTTGTTTTAACACTTAAAGTATGGGAGGTATATGAGGGAGGGAAAGCTTCAGAGAAAGAGATAATTTCCAATCAATATTTGATTGATACCTTGCCTTGTGACAGACATTTTAATCAGCTATATACCTTATGAGGTCAACTAGAAATTACGAGGGGAAAGGTAGGAAGTGGAGAATCCAAGATGCAGATAGAATGTTACTACTGCACACACAGGGCATCATAGAGATTAAGGTCATGTTCTCTAAACCCTAGCCCTGTTACCGGCTATGGGACCTTGGCCAGTAATTTAACCTCTCTGGGCTTTAGTTTTCTCATCCATACAATGAAGATGATAAGTAGCACCTTCATCATAGGAATTGAATGAGGAAATAAATATAAAGCAACTGATCTAGCGCCTAGAACACAGTAGCTATCATTGCTTTTATTAGTAGTACAGTAGTAGTATGTTTCCTTCAGAAAAGAACATGGTCACTTACCCTTTTTATATCATTTCGCCTCTGCCCCCCAACATACTAAGGCTTAGGCTATCGATTACACCAGCCTGCTGGAGAGAACCTTAAGCCCTTATTTTGGCCAAAGTTTTGAAAGAAGGAAGTGAATTTTAAGGTTACTTGAAGTTCTAGCTTGGGAAGTAGGACTCTTCATTCTTCAGATAATTAGAACCTGCTAGCACTGCTCTTGTCCCCAGAGTAGGGGTCACTTCCTAAGTGTTTATGCAATTGAATTCTATCTATAACCCTGCTGTGTCCATAAGAATTTGAGCTCATGGGACAGAATTGGTTTGAAATTTTTGAAAAGTGGACTCATATTTATGTACCAATTTTGGGGTGTCCAGTACCTAAAATGTTTATGCCCCTGTTCAGACATGGTAGTTACTATGCTTACCTGAGATCATCAGCCCCTCTGGGAGGTTATCACTGAAGCTTAGTCCTGAACTTAGGTAGATCAACAAAATACCCATGCAGTTTCTTCCTTTTCAAAACACCATCTGAGAATGAGGGTTGGATGAGGGCAAAGAAATGAGAATGTTGGCCAGGGCAGAGTTGTTATTCTCAATGGCTGAACTTGCCTTTTGGAAATTCTGACAAAGTGGTCATGTGAATACTTCTGTACCCAGCTCCTCATCCCCACCTTGCACCAGAAGGGAATGGGCTAAATCTGACGTTAAGGCCAGGCTTAGAAAAGGGAAAAAGCAACATACAGAGCAAAGAGCTTCTAAGAGAAATGGCACATATTGTACCTACAGCGACTATGGATAAGTTTTCTTCATTATCATGAGTTTTAATAATTGAATATTCTTTGACATTAAGGAAATCTTCCATCATTCTCCCTTCAATAAACAGCTTTCTATACAAAAGGATCTTATTAGCAAAGGTATTCAGACAGATCTACTCATTGAATATTGATCAACATTGGCAAATTAATCTTATTCTCTAATTAATGTACTCCCTACTCTGATTTAATCCATGTCCTTCTGCCCACCCTCCCCCCAGTGCTGTGCTACTTCCCACTGAGAGCTCACTCTTAGGTATGCTTTCATCTTTTTTGGTCTTCTTTGATCAGAAGGCTTCTCTCCTCTCAGACCATCCACCATACTCTGAAGATCTGTGGCTCTCACAACCTTCCCCTCTGGCTCCATTGTCACTGTGGGTATGGGACCTGGCCTCGGGGCCTTACAGAGGGTTTCAATAGTAAGGACAATGAAGAGGTCCTGAGATCTTCTCCACAACACAGACACCCTCCCCAAGACTCACCTGAGAAGCACCAAGGCCCAGAAACATCAGTAGAATCCACAGCCTCAAGATGCTGAGAATATGACACAAAATGAGAATAGAACCTATCTTTTAGCACCACTCTATAAATATATATATAAATTTAAAAATATATTTTATATATGTTTATTTTATGTATAAGTAAAGTATGTATTTTTATATATTAAATATAAACATCTATATGATACATATATATATATAAAACAACTCATGCACTGCAAATAGAGCATATCTTTGCAAGCATGGTATTGAACAGCTATAAGGAAAGCAGTGTTTCTTCACCTTATAAACAACACAATACATTCAAACTGTATTGAGTTTAAATTGTGTCTTCCCTTAAGGTACTCTGACCAACATTCTAGAATCCACAGCAACCTTAAGTTCAGTTAATTATACTCTTACAAAAAAACAAAGTAAAAATGTGTGTACATAAAATATAACTTTAATTTTTATGTTTTTAGGACTTCTAATAAAGTATAAGGTCACATATTGGAACAAATTTCTTATCTGATTGTTTTGAGCATGGGCACAAAGCTCAAAGGACAGCTGAGCAGAAAACTCTTTTTCTTTAAAGAAAACAAAAAATCTGCACCAACCTCCTCTCTTTGCTAAAGGTCTGCCATGGGTTTGGCATCCCTTTCCTCCATTTGCCAGCTCTTGTCACTACTTCTTGCCCCTTTCCTGCACTGGATTCTAAAATTAAAACAAAGACACTTTACAAAGTGAACACAGTGCAGGTATTTTTATTACATGTTATTTCAAACTTAAGGAATTGGTGCCAGAAAGTCTGGACTAGCATTTTTAGAGGTAAAGAACAAATTAATTCTATATCACTTATATCTCTGAGGATTCACTCATGTTTCATCCCCCCTCTGATTTCCCCCCTTCATTCTTCCCCTCCTGCTATCTTCTTCTTTTTTTTTTTTTTAACATATAATGTATTATTTGTTTCAGAGGTACAGATCTGTGATTCAACAGTCTTACACAATTCACAGCACTCACCATAGCACATACACTCCCCAATGTCTATCACCCAGTCATCCCATCCCTCCCACCCCCCACCACTCCAGCAACCCTCAGCTTGTTTCCTGAGATTAAGAATTCCTCATATCAGTGAGGTCATATGATACATGTCTTTCTCTGATTGACTTATTTTGCTCAGCATAACCACCCTCCAGTTCCATCCACGTCGTTGCAAATGGCAAGATTTCATTCTTTTTGATGGCTACATAATATTCCATTGTATATATATGTATACCACATCTTCTTTATCCATTCGTCTGTCAATGGACATCTTGGCTCTTTCCACAGTTTGGCTATTGTGGACATTGCTGCTATAAACATCGGGGTGCACATACCCCTTCGGATCCCTACATTTGTATCTTTGGGGTAAATACCCAGTAGTGCAATTGCTGGGTCGTATGGTAGCTCTATTTTCAACTTTTTGATTAACCTCCATACTGTTTTCCAGACTGGCTGCACCAGCTTGCATTCCCACCAACAGTGTAGGAGGGTTCCCCTTTCTTCGCATCCCCGCCAATATCTGTCATTTCCTGACTTGTTAATTTTAGCCATTCTGACTGGTGTGAGGTGGTATCTCATTGAGGTTTTGATTTGGATTTCCCTGATACCGAGCAATGTTGAGCACTTTTTCATGTGTCTGTTGGCCATTTGGATGTCTTCTTTGGAAATATATCTGTTCATGTCTTCTGCCCATTTCTTGATTGGATCATTTGTTCTTTGGGTGTTGAGTTTAAGAAGTTCTTTATAGATTTTGGAAACTAGCCCTTTATCTGATATGTCATTTGCAAATATCTTCTCCCATTCTGTTGGTTGTCTTCTGGTTTTGTGGACTGTTTCCTTTGCTTTGCAAAAGGTTTTTATCTTGATGAGGTCTCAATAGTTCATTTTTGCCCTTGCTTCCCTTGCCTTTGGCAATGTGTCTAGGAAGAAGTAGCTGTGGCTGAGGTCAAAGAGGTTACTGCCTGTGTTCTCCTTTAGGATTTTGATGGACTCCTGTCTCACATTTAGGTCTTTCAACCATTTGGAGTCTATTTTTGTGTGTGGTGTAAGGAAATGGTCCAGTTTCATTCTTCTGCATGTGGCTGTCCAATTTTCCCAACACCATTTGTTGAAGGGACTGTCTTTTTTCCATTGGACATTCTTTCCTGCTGTCGAAGATTAGTTGACCATAGAGTTGAAGGTCCATTTCTGGGCTCTCTATTCTGTTCCATTGATCTATGTGTCTGTTTTTGTGCCAGTACCATACTGTCTTGAGGGTTACAGCTTTGTAATAGAGCTTGAAGTCCGGAATTGTGATGCCGCCAGCTTTGCTTTTCTTTGTCAACATTCCTCTGGCCATTTGGGGTCTTTTCTGGTTCCATACAAATTTTAGGATTATTTGTTCCATTTCTTTGAAAAAAGTGGATGGTATTTTGATGGAGATTGCATTGAATGTGTAGGTTGCTCTAGGTAGCATTGACATCTTCACAATATTTGTTCTTCCAATCCATGAGCATGGAATGTTTTTCCATTTCTTTGTGTCTTCCTCCATTTCTTTCATGAGTATTTTATAGTTTTCTGAGTACAGATTCTTTGCCTCTTTGGTTAGATTTATTCCTAGGTATCTTATGGTTTTGGGTGCAATTGTAATGGGATCGACTCCTTAATTTCTTTTTCTTCTGTCTTGTTGTTGATGTATAGGAATGCCACTGATTTGTGTACATTGATTTTATATCCTGCCACTTTACTGAATTCCTGTATGAGTTCTAGCAGTTTTGGGGTGGAGTCTTTGGGGTTGTCCACATAAAGTATCATATCATCTGCAAAGAGTGAGAGTTTGACATCTTCTTTGCCAATTTGGATGCCTTTGATTTCTTTTTGTTGTCTGATTGCTGTGGCTAGGACTTCTAATACTATGTTGAATAGCAGTGGTGATAGTGGACATCCCTGATATGTTTCTGACCTTAGAGGGAAAGCTCTCAGTTTTTCCCCATTGAGAATGATATTCACTGTGGGTTTTTCATAGATGGCTTTTATGATATTGAGGCATGTACCCTCTATCCCTATACTCTGAAGACTTTTGATCAAGAAATGATGCTGTACTTTGTCAAATGCTTTTTCTGCATCTGTTGAGAGGATCATATGGTTCTTGTTCTTTTTTTTATTAATGTATTATATCACATTGAATGATTTGCGGATGTTGAACCAACCTTGCAGCCCAGGGATAAATCCCACTTGGTCGTGGTGAATAATCCTTTTAATGTACTGTTGGATCCTATTGGCTAGTATTTTGGTGAGAATTTTGCATCCATGTTCATCAAGGATATTGGTCTGTAATTCTCCTTTTTGGTGGGGTCTTTGTCTGGTTCGGGGATCAAGGTAATGGTGGCCTCATAAAATGAGTTTGGAAGTTTTCCTTCCATTTCTATTTTTTGGAACAGTTTCAGAGGAATAGGTATTAATTCTTCTTTAAATGTTTTGTAGAATTCCCCTGGGAAGCCATCTGGCCCTGGGCTTTTGGTTTTTGGGAGATTTTTGATGACTGCTTCAATTTCCTTAGTGGTTATAGGTCTGTTCAGGTTTTCTATTTCTTCCTGGTTCAGTTTTGGTAGTTGATACATCTCTAGGAAAGCATCCATTTCTTCCAGATTATCTAATTTGCTGCCATATAGTGTCTCATAGTTTGTATTTCTTTGGTGTTGGTTGTGATCTCTCCTCTTTCATTCATGATTTTGTTGATTTGGGTCCTTTCTCTTTTCTTTGTGATAAATCTGGCCAGGGGTTTATCAATCTTCTTAATTCTTTCAAAGAACCAGCTCCTAGTTTCATTGATCTGTTCTACTGTTCTTTTGGTTTCTATTTCATTGATTTCTGCTCTGATCTTTATTATTTCTCTTTGCCTGCGGGGTTTTGGCCTTATTTGCTGTTCTTTCTCCAGCTCCTTTCAGTGTAGGGTTAGGTTGTGTATTTGAGACCTTTCTTGTTTCTTGAGAAAGGCTTGTATTGCTATATACTTTCCTCTTAAGACTGCCTTTGCTGCATCCCAAAGATTTTGAACAGTTGTGTTTTCATTTTCATTGGTTTCCATGAATTTTTTAAATTCTTCTTTAATTTCCTGGTTGACCCATTCATTCTTTAGTAGGATGCTCTTTAGCCTCCATTTATTTGGTTCTTTCCGACTTTCTTCTTGTGATTGAGTTCTAGTTTCAAAGCATTGTGGCCCAAAAATGTGCAGGGAATGATCTCATTATTTTGGTACCAGTTGAGACCTGATTTGTGACCTAGGATGTGATCTATTCTGGAGAATGTTCCATGGGCACTAGAGAAGAATGTGTATTCCATTGCTTTGGGATGGAATGTTCTGAATATATCTGTGAAGTCCATTTGGTCCAATGTGTCATTTAAAGTCTTTATTTCCTTGTTGATCTTTTGCTTAGATGATCTGTCCATTTCAGTGAGGGGGATGTTAAAGTCCCCCACTATTATTGTATTGTTGTTGATGTGTTTCTTTGCTTTTGTTATTAATTGTCTTATATAATTGGCTGCTCCCATCTTAGGGGCATTGCTATTTACAATTGTTAGATCTTCTTGTTGGATAGACCCTTTAAGTATGACATAGTGTCCTTCCTCATCTCTTATTACAGTCTTTGGTTTAAAATCTAATTTGTCTGATAGAAGGATTGCCACCCCAGCTTTCTTTTGGTGTCTGTTAGCATGGTAAATGGTATTCCACCCCTTCATTTTCAATCTAGGGGTGTTTGGGTCTAAAATGAGTCTCTTGCAGACAGCATATCAATGGGCCTTGTTTTTTAATCCAATCTGATAGCCTGTGTCTTCTGATTGGGGCATTTAGCCCATTTACATTCAGGGTAACTATTGAAAGATAGGAATTTAGTGCCATTGTATTGCCTGTAAGGTGACTGTTACTGTATATTGTCTCTGTTCCTTTCTGGTCTATGTTGCTTTTAGGCTCTCTCTTTGCTGAGAGGACCCCTTTCAATATTTTTTTGTAGGGCTGGTTTCGTGTTTGCAAATTCCTTTAGTTTTTGTTTTTCCTGGAAGCTTTTTATTTCTCCTTCTATTTTCAATGACAGCCTAGCTGGATAGAGTATTCTTGGCTGCATATTTTTCTCATTTAGTGCTCTGAATATATCCTGCCAGTCCTTTCTGGCCTGCCAGGTCTCTGTGGATAGGTCTGTTGCCGATCTAATGTTTCTACCATTGTAGGTTACAGATCTCTTCTCCCGAGCGGCTTTCAGAATTTTCTCTTTGTCTCTCAGACTTGTAAGTTTTACTATTAGATGTCAGGGTATTGACCTATTTTTATTGATTTTGAGGGGGGTTCTCTGTGCCTCCTGGATTTTGATGCCTGTTTCCTTACCCAAATTAGGGAAGTTCTCTGCTATAATTTGCTCCAATATACCTTCTGCCCCTCTCTCTCTTTCTTCTTCTTCTGGGATCCCAATTATTCTAATATTGTTTCAGCGTATGGTATCACTTATCTCTTGAATTCTGCCCTCATTATCCAGTAGTTGTTTATCTCTCTTTTTCTCAGCTTCTTGATTTTCCATCATTTCCATCCATTCCATCCACTTCTTTATCACTAATTCTCTCTTCTGCCTCATTTATCCTAGCAGTTAGAGCCTCCATTTTTTTTGCACCTCATTAATAGCCTTTTTGGTTTCGACTTAGTTAGATTTTAGTTCTTTTATTTCTCCAGAAAGTGTTTCTCTAATAACTTCCATGCTTTCTTCAAGCCCAGCTAGTATCTTTAAAATCATCATTCTGAACTCTAGTTCTGACATCTTACTAATGTCCGTATTGATTAGATCCCTTGCAGTCTATACTGGCTCTTGTTCTTTTTGTTGAGGTGATTTTTTCCATCTTGTCATTTTGTCCAGAGGAGAATAGATGAATGAGAGAACAAAATGCTAACAGGGTAACAACGTCCCCAGAAAATATACACTAAACAAATCATAAAAGACCTGAAACTGGGGGAAAAGAAAGGGAAAGAAAGAAAAAAAGAAATAGATAAAGATAAAAACAAACAAACAAACAAAACAGAATATGATCAAATATGATCAGGCTGGTGCATAGATCAGTGCCACACACTAGATTTGGGGCATATTTTGGTCTGTTAGAAGAAAGTGCCTCCCAAAATTTTAAAGAAAGAAAAACTTATATATGTACAAAAATAAGGGTTAATACGATGAAGGGTTGGAATATGACTGTAAAGATGAAAATTATAAAAGATTTTATAAAAGGAATTGATAAGATAAGAAGTTGGTTGAAAAAAGAAAGAAGAGGATTTAAAAGAAAGGGAGAGAATGTGATCAGGCAGGAGACTAGAACAAAGCCATACACTAGAGATTTAGGGTATATTTTGATCTGTTAGAAGAAACTGTATCCCAAAATTTTAAAAAGAGAACAACTTATATATATATATACCAAAAATAAGGGTAACTACTATGAAGGGATAGAATATCACTCTAAAAATGAAAAATAAAAAATATTTTTTTAAAAAAGGGATTAATAAGATGTTGGTTGAAAAAGGGAAAAAGAAAAATTAAAAAAAAAAAAGACAGTTAAAAATTAACTTTGAAAGACTACAGAATCATGGTAAAAAAGCCATGGATTCTATGTGCAGTATTCCCCTAGCGCTGGAGTTCTGCCGTTCTCATTGATCGGTAAACTTGGTCTTGGCTGGCTGTTCTCGCTGATCTCTGGGGGAGGGGCCTGTTGCCGTGGTTTCCAAATGTCTCTGCCGGAGGCGGAATTGCCCCGCCCTTGCCCCCTCCCGGCTAAGTAATCTGCTTGGGTTTGCTCTCCGGGGCTTTTGTTCTCTGCGAGCTTTCCGTACAGCTTTGGAGGCGGAGAGTGAAAATGGTGGCCTCCCAAACTCCGCCCTGGAGGAGCCGAGAACTCGGGGCCCCGCTTCTCAGTGAGCCCCAGAGAAAAGCAGTCAGTCACTCCCGTCTCCCCGGTCTCTGGCCGCACTCCGTGCTCACCCGGCCTGTGACCAAGCATTTCTATCTCTGGCACCCGACCCCGTGTGGAGTCTCCAGACCCAGCAGATCCCTGCGGTGCGCTCCCGCGTTGCTTCTCCTGGGGGAAAAAGGTGAGTCTCCCCAGATCTGCCACTTGTTGGGTCCCTGCTGGAGGAGCAGGGGCCCGACTGTGCCGCCGATCACGGTTTATGCAAACCCCGAGCTGAGAGCACACTCCTCGGCTCCGTTTCTGCAGCCGGCTTCCCCGCTCTGATACCTGGGAGCTCTGCCGCACTCAGGCACCGCCGGTCTTTCTGTGACCCCGAGGGTCCTGAGACCACACTGTCCCGCGAGAGTTCCACCGCCCGCTTAGCCACTGGAGTGACGTCCCTCAGCGGAGCAGACTTCTAAAAGTTCCGATTTTGTGCTCTGTGGCTCTATCACTTGCCAGAAGCGCCGACGGAGGCCCCTCCCCCGCCGTCTATCCTCCCGAATATCGCTTCGGATTCACTTCTCCGCATGTCCTACCTTCCAGAAAGTGGTCGCTTTTCTGTTCAGAGAGTTGTTGCTATTCTTTTTTTTTTTTTTTTTAGATTTTTTTTTTTTTTTTTTTTTTTTGACAGAGAGAGACATAGCGAGAGCGGGAACACAAGCAGGGGGAGTGGGAGAGGGAGAAGCAGGCTTCCCGCTGAGCAGGGAGCCCGATGTGGGACTTGACCCCAGGGCCCTGGGATCATAACCTGAGCTGAAGGCAGACGCTTAACAACTGAGCCACTAGGCGCCCAAGTTGTTGCTATTCTTTTCTTCGATCTCTTATTGAGTTTGTAGGTGTTCAGAATGGTTTGATCCCTATCCAGCTGAATTCCTGGACCAGACGAAATCCAGGTCTCCTACTCCTCCGCCATCTTGGAGGAGGTTCTGTTCTAATCTAGTCTTATTTCTTTTCTTCCTCTACCCCTTCTTCCTTTACTATTACCTCTTTTTGGATGGGTCTCAATCTTTATAATAACCACCTCTCTAGGAAGTAGGAGTTCCTTGAAGTTCTATAACTTGTTGTCCATTTTGGATGGGAATTCCTGCAGAAGTAAGAAACACCTTTGTCTCCACAACATTCCAAAGCCATGTACTACTCTAAAAGCATACTTGCTATCTGTATATATGTTTACTCTCTAGTCTTTGGATAGTTGATACGCTCTCATTGGTGCAATAAGTTTTGCTACCTAGGCTGATTTTACCTGATGGAGGATTATTTTCTGAAGGAGAGCTTACATTAGTTATAACATCTTGTGTAATAACTTCCAGTTTTGGTTGAGGTATGATCAATCAACCAATCATAATAAGTGAAGGGGCACCTGGGTGGCTCAGTCCTTAAGCGTCTGCCTTCAGCTCAGGTCATGATCCCAGGGTCCTGGGATTGAGCCCTGCATCAGGCTCCTGCTTGGCAGGAAGGCTGCTTCTCCCTCCCCCACTCCCTCTGCTTGTGTTCCCTCTCTCACTGTGTCTCTCTCTGTCAAATAAATAAATAAAATCTTTAAAAAAAAATCATAATAGGTCAATGTTCTCAATGAGAGTGAGGTCAGAAAGTTCCCTAACTGGGGTAGGACTATCATAAGATTCCTCTCTTTCTGACAGGGACAAAAGAGTGGCAGGATTCAGGGGGTTGCAGTGGTAAATAGTAATGCAAGAGGGAGAGTAACAGAATCTCAATCAATAGATGTTGATTGGCTGGCTGGAATGTGTTGTGTTTTCTTAGCCAGACGTAATGTCTATACTGCAAACAAGACTATGAGCTTAAGCAAGCAGTTTAGAATTAGTTCAGCAAGCATCAAGTTTTTCAATGACAGCTATTGCTCTAAGGTAAAGAAAACAAACCTTTGAAACTAAGGGTGAGGTGAGACTTTAGTGAGAGATGATTTGATAGTTCCTGTGAAATTGAGTTAAAACCTCATGGGCTTGTTCAGATAACTCACACACACATAAATGAAAGAGCTTTTTGTAGTTAGGGATAGTCAGGGAAGGAGGCTAGTGAAGAGTCCTCTTCAGATTGCAGAAGACCTGTTCATATTTGGGTTCATATTTGGGCATCACAGTATCAGAGAAATTTGGCATCCATGGCTGCAATACCTAATTAAAGCTAGAAATCCTCTCAACTGTCATTTTGTGAGTGGTCTAGGTACATTTAGATAGTCTTTAGTGAGTCAGGAGAGAATATTTTATCCCCTGAATCGGTCATGCCCCACACATACTGTGGTTTCACAAAATTTTAAGTTATCTTTTGAAAGTTTATGTCTCTTTCCCGTTAATTCTAAGAGGAAGTAAATGGAATCTTTTTTGCAGGCTTCCTTGTTCTCTGAAGAAAGTGAAGGAGGCTTCAGTGAACCCCTGGGACATGACTGTCCAGGTGTATTGTTGATCTCTGCAGGTCAAGGTAAGAAGGCACTGACTTTTCTGATCTAGAGGTCCACTGAAAAAGGCAGAGCAAGATCCAATACAGTAAAGCAAGTGGCTTCAGGCAGAAGTGATGACAGAATATTTGGATTAGGTACTACTGTGAAGTAAGGGATAAAATTTTGTGGATTGTCTTGAGGTTTTTAAATGCTTTTTAATTTTTAAATTGAAGTGTAATTGACATATAACATTGTGTAACTTTAAGGTGTACCATGTGTTGATTTGATACATTTATATATTGTCATATGATTACCTATTGTATATTGTCATATGATTACCACTGTAGCATTAGCTAACACCTACGTCATGTCACATAAGTATCATTTTGTGTGTGTGTGGTGGGAACAATAAAGATCTAGAACTCTAAGCAACTTTGAAGTTTAGAATACAATATTGTTGACTCTAATTCCTATGCTGTGCATTTGTTCTTCAGAATTTACTTATCTACTGGCTCCCAGTTTGTACCCTTAAACAATGTATCCCCAATTCCTCCACCCCTCAGTCTCTGGTAACCATCATGCTGCACTCTGTTTTGGTAAGTTTGGCTTTTTTAGATTTCACATATGAAAGATAGTATTTGTCTTTCTCTGGCTGACTTATCTCACTTAACATAACACCCTCAGGGTCCATCCTTGTTGCAAATGTCAGGATTTCCTTTTTTTTCCCCTCATGGCTGAATAATATCCCATTATATATACACACCACAACTTCTTTATCCATTCATCTGTTGATAAATATTTAGGTTGTCTCCTTATCTTGACTATTGTGATTAATGCTGCAACAAACACAAGAGTGCATATGTCTTTGATATCGTGCTTTCATTTCCTTTAGATATATCCCCAGAAGTGGGATTTATGGTAGTTTTATTTTTAATTTTTTTAGGAACCTCCATACTGTTTTCCATAGTAGCTGAACCAATTTGCATTCCCATTTCTTGAGTAACTAGGTGCATTGTCAATGAATAGCAATATTTTGTGGGATTTTTTAAGATTTTATTTTTAAGTAATCTCTACAGCCAATATGGGACTCAAACTCACAACCCCAAGATCAAGAGTTACATGCTCTGCTGACTGAGCCAGCCAGGATCCCCAGTAGTAATATTTTGAAAGGAATTTTTTTTTTCCCCCTGAGCAGTAGGTCTCAATCATGGGCTTAAAATATGCAGTAAACTGTATTGTAAACAGATGTACTGTCACCCAGGCTTTGTTATTCCATTTATAGAGCATAAGCAGAGTAGATTTAGCATAATTCCTAAGGGCCCTTAAGAATTTCAGATTTTCAGAATGATAAATGTTAGCAAGTGAAATCCAACAATGTATAAAAATAATTGTATACCATGACCAAGTGGGATTTATCCAGGTACACAAGGCTGGTTCAACATTTGAAAATTGATTAATGTAATTCATCACATCAACAAGTTAAAGAAGAAAAACCACATGATCATATTGATAGATGCAGAAAAATCATCCAAAAAATCCAGTAGACATCACAATAAAAACTCTTGGCAAACTAAGAATAGAGGGAAACTTTCTCAACTTGATAAAAAACAGCCACAAGAAACCTACATACTTAATGGTGAGAAACTCAAAGCTTTCCCACTAAGATCAGGAGCAGGCAAGGATGTTCCCTTTCACTATTGCTTTTCAACATTGTACTGGAAGTCTTAGTTAATGAACTAAGGAAATAAAAGGTGTACAGGATGTGAAGGAAGAAATAAAACTGTCTTTGTCTCAGATGACATGTTGTCTATGTAGAAAATCCAAAAATATCAACTAAAAATTCCCTGAAATAAATTAGCAATTATAGCCAAGGTTGCAGGATACAAGATTAATATACCAAAGTCAATCAATTTCCTATATGCCAGCAATGAACAAAGTATAATTTGAAATTAAAAAGACAATACCATTTACATTGGCACCCCACAAAAATTACTTAGGTGTAAATCTAACAAAATATCTATAATATCTTTATGAGAAAAACTACAAAACACTGGTGAAAGGAAACAAAGAGGAACTAAATCAGTGAAGAGATATTTCATGTTTTTCAATGGGAAGACTCAATTTGTCAAGATGTCAGTTCTTCTCAACTTGATTTATAGATCCAAAGTAATCCTAATCAAAATCCCAGCAAGTTATTTGTTGGATATCAACAAACTGATTCTAAAGTTTGCATGGAGAGGCAGAGACCCAGAATGGCCAACTCAGTATTAAAGAAAAAAGTTGGAGGGACTGATATTACCTGGTTTCAAGACTTACTACAAAACTACAGTAAGCAAGACAGTGTGGTATTTGAGAAAGAATAGACAAATAGATCAGTGGAACAGAACAGAGAGCCCAGGAAGAGACACATAAATATAGTCAACTGATCTTTGACAAAGAAGCAAAGGCGATATGATGGAACAAAGATCATGTCTTCAAAAAATGGTGCTGGAACAATTGGACATCCACCCCCCCCCAAAAAAAGAGGGGGTATCTAGATACAGACCTTACACTCTTCACAAAAATTAAGTCCAAATGAATCTATACACAAATGCAAAACTAAAACTCTTAGAAGATAACATTGGAGAAGACCTATGTGACCTTAGGTATGTTGATGACTTTTTTAAATACAACATCAAAGACACGATCCATGAAAGAAAAAATTGATAAGCTGGATTTCATTAAAACTAAAAACTTCTGCTCTGTCAAAGATAGTGTCAAGAGAATGACAAGACAAAACACAGACTGGGAGAAAATATTTTTAAAATATACATCTGATAAAGGACTAATATCCAAAATATACAAAGAATTCTTAAAACTCAACAACAGGAAAATAAACAACCTAATTAAAAGATGGGTCTAAGACCTTAATAGGCACTTCACCAAAGAAGATATATGATGGCAAGTAAGCATCTGAAAAGATGTCCAACATCATATGACATTAGGGAATTGCAAGTTAAAATGACAAGATCTCTACATACCTACTAGAATGGCTCAGATACAGAACACTGACAATATCAAATCCTGACGAAGATGTGGAGCAACAAAAACTCTCATTTATTGCTAATGGGGAAAAAATGGTACAGCCACTTTAGAAGATAGTTCGGTAGATTCTTAACAAAACTTAACATACTCTTTCCATGTGATCCAGCAATCATGTTCCTGGTATTTATCCAGATGAATTGAAAACTGTGCCCACACAAAAACCTGCAGACAGATGTTTATAGCAGCTTTATTCATAATTGCCAAAAATTGGGAGCCAACAAGATATCTTCGGCAGGTAATTGAAAAATAAATTGTGGTACATTTAGATAATGCCGTAGTATTCAGCGCTAAAAAGAAATGCGCTATAAAGCCTTGAAAAGATATGGAGGAAACTTAAATATATATTACTAAGTGAAAGAAGCCAATCTGAAAAGACTACACACTGTATGATTCTAAGACATTCTGGAAAAGGCAAAACTATTGAGACAGTAAAATGATCAGTGGCTGGGGGAAGACAAGGGGAGGATAAATAGGAGTTTTAGGGGCAATGAAACTATTTTGTATGATACTCTTCATTTTGTATGAAACTATTTTGTATGATACTCTAATGATGAGCACATGTCCTTATACATTTGTCAAAACCCATAAAATGTACAACACCAAGAATGAACCCTAATATAAACTATGGACTTCAGATGATAATGATGTGTCAGTGTAGGTTCATTGATTATAACAAATATACCGCTGTGCTGTTGGATATCGATACTAGGGGAGGCTGTGTATGTGTGGGGATGGGGAGTATATGGAAACTCTGGTACTTTTTCTGCTCAGTTTTTTTGTGAATCTAAAACTTCTCTAAAAACTAAATTTTTTTAATTAAAAAAAATCCTAACAGTTATTTTTGTGGAATTTGACAAGCTAATTGTAAAATTTATATAAAAATGCAAGGAGAAAAACAAGGTTGGAGGACTTGCTTTACCAGGAATGAAGACTCACAATAAAGCTATACTAACTCAGATAGTTTGTTCTTGGTAGAAATAAGTAAATGATGAGCAGAAGAGAGAGATCAGAAATAGAAATGGTAGTGCAGGGCAGTGACGGAAAGATGATCTTTTCAATAAGTGTTTTTGAGACAATTTTAGGTATCCACACAGAAAAACATTTAAATTGGATCTCTAAATCACACCAAAATCCAGTGCTTTATAAACCCACATGTGAAATACAAAACAGTAAGGCATTTAGAAGTAACGTAAGAGAATATCTTCACAATCTGATGATGGAAAATATTCCTTAAATGGGGCACAAGAGTTATTAAGAATAAGGTAATATTTATATAAGGTACTTAGAATAGTTAAAATTACGGAGACAGAAAGCAGGATAGTAATTGCAGGGGCTGGGCAGGTTGGGGGTTAGTTACTATAACTATAGAATATAGGTTTTATGAGATGATGTGAGTTACGGAAATGGATGGTGGTAATGATTGCACAACATTATGAATGTATTTAATGCCACTGAACTGTACACTTAAAAATGGTTACAATGGTAAATTTTGTGTTATGTATTTTACTAAAATTGAAAAAAAAATCTAGGAAAAAAATTAAGCAGGACAATAAATGCATAATTTAACAATATGAATTATAGGGTTTGAATATCCAGTGGGGTTTTTTTTCTTCATGAGACCTGGAATAAAATATTAATGAAACATCATTTAAAAACTTTATAAAAACCTGGGCGCCTGGGTGGCTCAGTCGGTTAAGCGACTGCTTTCGGCTCAGGTCATGATCCTGGAGTCCCGGGATGGGGTCCCACGTCGGGCTCCCTGCTCGGCAGGGGGTCTGCTTCTCCTTCTGACCCTCCCCCCCTCATGCTCTCTCTATCTCATTCTCTCTCTCAAATAAATAAATAAAATCTTAAAAAAAAAATTTTTTTTTTAAAAACTTTATAAAAACCAATTAAAATATCACTTTGGGTCCCCCAAAAAAGAGAATAGATTGATTCATTAGACTACAATAAAATATTTGCTTATTTGTTGAAATGTCTTCTCCTCTTCTGTGGCTAGTCTTTTTTGATACTGTCACTAGTCTTTTTTTAATAGTTTATTTTGCTAAACAGTTTTGTTATTACACAAACTCTTCCGTATGTGTATTGTTTCACAATTTAAAAAAAGCTTTTTTTTAAAGAGGGGATTTTAGGGGTGCCTGGGTGGTGCAGCTGGTTGTCTGACTCTCCGTCTTGGTTCAGGTTGTGATCTCTGGGTTTGTGAGATTGAGCCCCAGGTTGGGCTCCACTCTCAGCCTGAGTCTGCTTGAGATTTCCTCTCCCTCTCCCTCTGCCCCTCCCACTTATGTGCATGCATGCCCTCTCTCTAAAATAAATAAATCTTCAAAAAATAAAGAGTGGATTTTAAATTCAATACAAATAAACATCAAGATGGCAACTAAAAAGAAGTAACTGAGAGATAACTCCACTCCCTTTTGTACTCACCAGGCAGACAAACTAAGGGCTGCCTCACAGGCTACACCCAATGGGGCAGGCAAGGAAGAGGATTGCAGTCACTTTACCTTTAGAGTCTTTTAACTTTCACAGCTCCCTCTTTCCCAGGAATCCTATGTCCTCATGACCCCCGCCCCCTCACGCTTGCAAAGCCTCTCCTGGGGATGCTGCCACCACAACATCACCAATGATTGCTTAGTAATTTCTCTAATACTTTTTCCTTCAGTCTCCACAATACCCAAGGTTGGTCTTATTAGGGCCATTAGTCATGTATGTTCCTTTAGCATAGTGCAGAGGAAGTAAGGGAAGGAAGTGCTTCCATATCTGTGACCTCTAATAATGTTCTCAGCACTGATGCTTAAAGTCCTGTGAGGTTGATTGCCAAGAGAGGAAAGGATGATAATTTTGTTGTTGTTGTTGCTTTCAGAACTATTTATAAGACAGTCTTTCTTCATTTTCCAGAGAGAGCTTGGTTTTTAGACAACAAAAAGAAGTGACATTGTACACACTAGGATGCAGACATAGAGCCATTCATTATCCCTGAAAAGGACACAGGCAAAAAAAATATAAAGAAAACTGAGGATGACTGGAAGAATATTTAATGGAGCCACATTTGAGTCTAACATCTTGAATATTATTCTCAGTATCAACTAGAAAAATAGACTGAGGCAGTTCTATCATATTTAATTAGTAATTCTAATAGATTATGGAAAAGCTTGTAATGGAAATCATGAGGTATCACGAGGCTTGTATTTATTTCCATATTGTTCTTACTATGTTGTTAGGTCACAGAGGAAAGCAAGCAGTGGTGGAAGGTATCCCCAGCCTCCAGCTGTATCTAACCTCTGTGAAGCAGATCCAGGATTCTCAGGTGATTTCCAACTGCCAGTATCTGCATTTCTGTGCTTACAGTCTCTTTTCCTTGGAACTGCAGAAAAGTGTGCTGCCTATTTGCATGATAGAGCAGAGGCACACAGAAGTGACACGCCCTCCCCCAGCCCCCAAAAGGAAGATCCCTCAATCAATGGCTCTTAAAAGTAGATGTATAAATACCCCAGCTCCTTATCCCCTGGGTAGAATAATTCTGAACTGTGTGGTTTGTACCATTTCTTGATGTTTGCTTGGAGGATTGAGCTCCAGTGCCCACCCCAGTAGCTGGTTTGATGACACACATTTTGCTGGCTTTCTTCCCTTCCCTGTATCACCAAGTCCCTGCACATCTCAAATAAGCTACCTGGACCTGACTCCTTGTCTCAGGGTCTGTTTCTGTGGGAATCAAACTAAGACACCTTAAATATGGACTCTCCTATAGAACATCTCTTGGTATCCAAGTCATAAAGAGAATACTGGGGGAATCAATTCAGAGTCTAAGTCAGTATCCTATTTCTTGTTTTTCAAGTTACTTGGAAATTATCTCACCTAGATGTGCTTTATTGCTTTAGTAGTGACATTGAAGGGGCTGGCAGTTAGGTGGAGTACATGCTTGTGGGGGAAAGCCCAGAAGAAACCATCCTTAAGTAAAGTGAACGTTCTGGATTGCCTACAAGCAGGGAGGATATCAAAATATTTAACAACTGGTACAGTATGGTCCTCAACCAATTATAAGAGATGCTGGACTGTATTCTGCAGGGCTACCATACTAGCTAACCATTGACTCTGCCCAGTGAAACACAGGGTCCCATTTCTGCCTAAGTCAAATCTTCAGGCTAGGTTAAGATGTTGTTGGGCAGAGAAGGTTTACCCGGCTTTCTCTGGGGGCACTCAGAGGTAGGTGGGTTTAATTTTGATTCCTTCTCAGAAAGAAAAGTAATGGGGTAACTTTTATCAAATATTCCCCCCAAAAGCTAAAAGCCAAGGAGGAGCCATGTCAGCAGGGACTTTGAGGGTTTTATGCTCCAACATTATTATTTGTGTCCTCTCCTGAGGATGGTAGTAAAGCCACAAACTGCACCAGGTTTTTTGTTCTAGGGAACTCTTTTCCATTGTGGGTAGTCTGGACAAGACCAAAGAGCAGAGTAGCCAAGGCATAGGTATGTAGATGACCCAAGATAAGCCCATCAGAGTCTCTCTCCTGAAACTATGAAAGTGAATCAGAATGATGAAAGGATGGAAGAAAAAGTCTCTGGAGTACATTTAAGCAAGGAGAGAGCTAATACATTCATTCAGTGAGGATGCTATCAAGTATGGTCAACTGGTTCCTGCTGCACAAAGTCGTTTGGTTTCTCTTCATGTCCTTGACCTTGTTGTTTCTATGAGTCTTTTGATAGCCTTCTTGTAACTGCCTCTTATTCCTTAAATTTTCCAGAATTGGTTACTTTTGCTTGCAATTAAAGAACCATAACTCACTCAGGTCCTATATGCTTATCTTCAGTCATGTTTTGTGAGGAGTGGACTTCTTGAACAAGTGTGTGGCAGAAATTCCTGAAAATAGAAGAAGCCAGTCCCTGGATCTTCAGCAAACAAGAGGAAGAAGACACAGAAGGTTGGTGTGAGCCAGGGACATGGCATATAGCACTTTCAGAAGAACAGCTTCACCACAGTCAGCTCTCAGTTACTTGTGAAGCTAGAATTCCATCCCTAGTTTCTCCATCATCCCATAGGTTGACTGGCTTATGAGTTAAGCATATCTCACAATCAAAGCCCTAGTGGCTTGGACAAATACTTGGAAAAGGACAAAGGCTCAGGCCAGGCTCTCTTGTTAACAATTCTGGTAAAACAGAGGTCAGCAGGCATTGAAATCATGGAATAAAATAGGGCCTCACTGAAATATATAGATGTCACTTACCATGATATTCACATTTACTACAAAATAATTGTGCATATATGTTTGTGAACATTATGGGAATCATATTATGAACTGGGTGGGATTCCTTTTCTTTTTCTTTCTTTTTTTTTTTTTTTGGATGCTTATTTGCATTAAGAAAACTGAATTTTTTGTCATAATTGCAACCATTTCTTTGTGTTGAGTATGACACATCCATATCAAACTCTCAAAGAGGGGCCATCTGAACACCTGCCAACCTGGCCCACCCACAGAGCTTTGCCTAGAAGCCATGTCTTTTATAGAATTTAGCTCGGGCGAGAAGATCATTGACCAAATCTTTGTCTATGTCCGTTAGGGTGACGATGGCATTGATTCCTGACTTAAAGGCCGAGAGACCACCTGAAATGAAACAGAGGTTCAGACTGAAATATTAACTTTCAGCAGAAATAAGATATGAGCAGGGCGCCTGGGTGGCTCAGTCATTAAGCATCTGCCTTTGGCTCAGGTCATCATCCCAGGGTCCTGGGATGGAACCCTGCATCAGGCTCCCTGCTCCACAGGAAGCCTGCTTCTCCCTCTCCCACTCCCCCTGCTTGTATTACCTCTCTTGCTGTGTCTCTGTCAAATAAATAAATAAAATCTTAAAAAAAAAAAAAAAAGAAATAAGATATGAGCATTCCCAGGATGTAAGCCCTCCAGGCAAATTTTTCAAAGCAGGCAGTCCCAGATTCTCCTTCCCCCTTCCTCCCCTCCTGAAAGGCTCAACCACCCCAAGAATCTCTGGGAAAATTCCAGATTTTTTTCCTTCTCTCTCCTTTTAAGAGACTTGTCTTTCTTGCTGCAAAAGCCATATTTGCCTCTTATGTAGTCCAGGCCTGGCAAAACTTGATCCCCAGCAAATCTTCAGTCGGAGACTGTTTATAGCATTCTCCCAGTCATTAAATAACTTACTCATTTAAAAAAGAATTTACTCATTTATTCAATCCCTCATTCAGTCATTCAGTAAATGTTTTTATGCACCTACTATGTGCCAGGCGGATGGGTGCCACACTGAGTGCAGGGTACACAATGGTACACAAGACATAATCATTTCTTTGTATGGATATGTGTGTGTATGCAAGTGTATATGTGTATTTTACCCCAAAATTTTAATCTTCAATAGTTATTTATGTGTTTAACATGACTGCTTTGCTCTGATATATAGAGAAAAACACCCCTGGTCATGATCCCTGACTTCAGGGACCTTGAAATAGAGAAAACAAATTGTTTATTCTAAATTAAGGATGTTAAAGTGTGGGAGGAGAAAGGTATTATGCACACCATGGGTCTATAAGAGGTAAACTTGATAGGACTTGCTTGTGATTGGATGTGAAAACAGAAGGAACCAGAGAACCTAAGAAAACACTCTGGTTTTCTGGCTGGAATGACTAGACATATGGTGCCTTTCACAGAGACAAAAAAAAAGAGAAGAGACAGAAAAACAGAAGAAAGAGTAAGTTTATGGTGGGAGGCTAGTGACTTAATTCAGTCTGGAAGATGCTGAACTTGAGGAGGTCTGTGATCAGCCAACCAGAGATCTTCACTTGGATATAGTACCTAAAGCCCAGATGTCGCTGAGAATGTTCAGAGTAAACATTTGTTCAAACAAAGAAAGTCGTTAAGTTTCTTACATCAGGAAAATTCTACCAGAGGAAGGCAAACATTCTTTTAAACTCTTGCATTAATTCTCAAGACATCACTTAGTGGCTCAGTAACTAAGGAGAGATATAAGAACACCAACATTTGGCAGAAGGGGAAATGGACGTTGGGAAGCAAGACCACTCAAAGTAACTCAGTGGTTCAGAGAGCACTAGTGCATCCTTTTGGCAGCTCCTTCCAGACCCATTGCTGACCCCATGGGAACACTCCCAGAGAGGCCCTGGGGCACATCTGGCCTTCAGGGGTCTCACTCGCTGATCTTTTAAACAAAGCTCCACAAACATGGCCTACCTTTGAGGTGTTGAGCCACACTCCACATGGGGAATTTTTTCTGGATTGCCTTAATTTTGTCTGTTAGAATCCCAACAGCCTGCAAAAGGTGTTCTTTGCTGTCCCAGGTACCAACAGGGTGATAAATTTTTTTATCAAGCTACAAAAATCAGATAATAATGTCAGCATCTGGATAAAGCAACACATTTTTCTACTATTCCCAATTTCTCTTCCTTGTGCTCAAGTATACAGCCACTGGCCTCGGCCCCCTTACTTTATCTCCACAGAATCAATTCTACTTTCTCTCACAGAAGAGAGAGAGGGGCACCTGGGTGGCTCAGTCATTAAGCGTCTACCTTCAGCTCAGGTCATGATCCCAGGGTCCTGGGATCGAGCCCCGCATCGGGCTCCCTGCTCAGCCGGAAGCCTGCTTCTCCCTCTCCCACTCCCCCTGCTTATGTTCCTGCTCTCGCTATCTCTCTCTCTGTCAAATAAATAAAATCTTAAAAAAAAGAAAAGAAAAGAGAGTCAGAGAAACAAAGTATGATTTGGGAGATGTGGAAGTGGCATAGTTTTTGTTAAACTCTCAAATATAAATAAATTTATGAAAAAGTTGTTTCAAAACAAATAATTAGCATTCAGTGACTAGACATTTGCAGTCAAACATAAAAATTTGTTTCTAATTGGGACAGTCTGAAGCTTAGCTCTCTACAGACAATTTAAAATAATGACTGGATGCAAACATCCAGATAATTTGGATCCCCTTCCTCCAATTTGCCTAAAGAACCATTTGATTCAAGTAGAGTTTAATTATGGTGTTTTGATCTACATGGATAAAATTCACTACTTTATGGGCCCCAAATGGACACTTCTAATAGTGCCCTTTATAAGATTTTCTCAATTTAAGTGCATTGCATATTATTAATTGCAAATTGTAGTTATAAAACTCATAAGATACTTTTTCTGAAGATATCCAAAAACTGATAAATCTGGAAAGAAATACCAGAGATGTGTTTCAGAAATACAGAAGTACAAATTATGCTGAAATTCCAGGGTGTTTTGAAGCCTGGAACTACTACAAATGGACATCTAGTTTGGGTTGACCTTCCATAAGGAAGGATGAAGTGGGGCTGACTGAAAGTTTCTTGCCAAGTACCTGCATCAAGCCAAATTTAAGTCCCCTGTAGTCCCAGCCATCTTGCAGGACAGCTCCACCATGGCTTTCTCTTGAGATGATGGCTGCAATGAGAGCAGGGTCCACACAATACCTCAGCCCAACTTCTTTGATCAGAATCTGGTAAGTTTTTAAGGCCCTCAAATCCATCTCAGCAAACATTTCAGAACCACGGATCCCTAAGTCAAAAGAAAACAAAACTGTTTACTCCAGAAGAGAACCCTTTTCCAAAGTTTAATAAGTCAGTCATAGCCCCCAACCACAGCCCAAAGCTTGGGACAACTATTCTAGGACATTGTTTTTAATCTCTAATTGCATAAACCCAGAAAGGTCCACAACCCCAAGCAGTACCACTTCTGCTTTCTTTCTTGTTCTTCTGTTACCTGCCACATTGGTGCCTTGGGAAGACTCTTGGACTAGAAGTCAGCCAACCTAAATTTGAGTCTGGTTCTGCTACTACCTAGTTCCAGGCCCATGAGAAGTCTCTTCTTGCTGAGCCTCAGTTTTCAGATCTATAAATTGGGGAGGTAGGATTAGATTGACCTTGTAGTTGCTTCCAGCGCTGACATTCTAATGCTGGGATAACATGAAGAAGACTTTGGAACAGGATTACAAAAGAGAGGATGTACAAAGAGCAAGAGGCTCGCCTAAATGCTCATGCTGTAACATGAAGTAAATACAACAACAAACAAAAAACAAAGGCAGAATTTAATATTTTATGTAAACAATCATTTAATTATGTAGAAATAAACACATTTGGATAAGGTTTGGAAAGAATAGGGGGAGGGGCGCCTGGGTGGCTCAGTCAGTTAAGCGGCTGCCTTCGGCTCAGGTCATGATCCTGGGGTTCTGGGATCGAGCCCCCACATCGGGCTCCCTGCTCGGCGGGGAGCCTGCTTCTCCCTCTCCCTCTGCCTGCCTCTCTGCCTACTTGTTCTGTCTCTCTATCTCTCTGTCAAATAAATAAATAAAATCTTTAAAAAAAAAAAAGAATAGGGGGAAATTAAAAGAAGTCGTTTGTTAAGTTGGTCAGGATTCTGCTTTCTTCTAATTTTTTTTTTCTTTTTTTTTTTTTTAATTTTTTTATTCTTATGTTAATCCCCTTACATTACAACATTAGTTTTAGATGAAGTGTTCCATGATTCATTGTTTGTGCACAACACCCAGTGCTCCATGCAGAATGTGCCCTCCTAAATACCCACCACCAGGCTAACCCATCCTCCCACCCCCCTCCCCTCTAGAACCCTGTTTGTTTTTCAGAGTCCATCGTCTCTCATGGTTCGTCTACCCCTCCGATTTCCCCCGCTTCATTCTTCCCCTCCTGCTACCTTCTTCTTCTTCTTCTTCTTTTTTTTTTCTTAACATATATTGCATTATTTGTTTCAGAGGTACAGATCTGAGATTCAACAGTCTTGCACAATTCACAGCGCTTACCAGAGCACATACACTCCCCAGTGTCTATCACCCAGTCACCCCATCCCTCCCACCCCACCCCCCACTCCAACAACACTCAGTTTGTTTCCTGCGATTAAGAATTCCTCATATCAGTGAGATCATATGATACATGTCTTTCTCTGTTTGACTTATTTCACTCAACATAATACCCTCCAGTTCCATCCACGTTGTTGCAAATGGCAATATCTCATTCCTTTTGATGGCTGCATAATATTCCATTGTATATATATACCACATCTTCTTTATCCATTCATCTGTCGATGGACATCTTGGCTCTTTCCACAGTTTGGCTATTGTGGACATTGCTGCTATAAACATCGGGGTGCACGTACCCCTTCGGATCCCTACTTTTGTATCTTTGGGGTAAATACCCAGTAGTGCAATTGCTGGATCATATGGTAGCTCTATTTTCAACTTTTTGAGGAACCTCCATACAGTTTTCCAGAGTGGCTGCACCAGTTTGCATTCCCACCAACAGTGTAGGAGGGTTCCCCTTTCTCCGCATCCCCGCCAACATCTGTCGTTTCCTGACTTGTTAATTTTAGCCATTCTGACTGGTGTGAGGTGATACCTCATTGAGGTTTTGATTTGGATTTCCCTGATGCCGAGCGATATTGAGCACTTTTTCATGTGTCTGTTGGCCATTTGGATGTCTTCTTTGGAAAAATGTCTGTTCATGTCTTCTGCCCATTTCTTAATTGGATTCTTTGTTCTTTGGGTGTTGAGTTTGATGAGTTCTTTATAGATTTTGGATACTAGCCCTTTATCTGATATGTCATTTGCAAATATCTTCTCCCATTCTGTCGGTTGTCTTTTGGTTTTCTTAACTGTTTCCTTTGCTTTGCAAAAGCTTTTTATCTTGATGAAGTCCCAATAGTTCATTTTTGCCCTTGCTTCCCTTGCCTTTGGCGATGTTTCTAGGAAGAAGTTGCTTCGGCTGAGGTCAAAGAGGTTGTTGCCTGTGTTCTCCTTTAGGATTTTGATGGACTCCTGTCTCACATTGAGGTCTTTCAGCCATTTGGAGTCTATTTTTGTGTGTGGTGTAAGGAAGTGGTCCAGTTTCATTCTTCTGCATGTGTCTATCCAATATTCCCAACACCATTTGTTGAAGAGACTGTCTTTGTTCCATTGGACATTCTTTCCTGCTTTGTCGAAGATTAGTTGACCATAGAGTTGAGGGTCCATTTCTGGGCTCTCTATTCTGTTCCATTGATCTATGTGTCTGTTTTTGTGCCAGTACCATGCTGTCTTGATGATGACAGCTTTGTAATAGAGCTTGAAGTCCGGAATTGTGATGCCACCGGCTTTGCTTTTCTTTTTCAATATTCCTCTGGCTATGCGGGGTCTTTTCTGGTTCCATACAAATTTTAGGATTATTTGTTCCATTTCTTTGAAAAAAGTGGATGGTATTTTGATGGGGATTGCATTGAATGTGTAGATTGCTCTAGGTAGCATTGACATCTTCACAATATTTGTTCTTCCAATCCATGAGCATGGAACGTTTTTCCATTTCTTTGTGTCTTCCTCAATTTCTTTCATGAGTATTTTATAGTTTTCTGAGTAAAGATCCTTTGTCTCTTTGGTTAGATTTATTCCTAGGTATCTTATGGTTTTGGGTGCAATTGTAAATGGGATCGACTCCTTAATTTCTCTTTCTTCTGTCTTGTTGTTGGTGTATAGGAATGCCACTGACTTCTGTGCATTGATTTTATATCCTGCCACTTTACTGAATTCCTGTATGAGTTCTAGCAGTTTTGGGGTGGAGTCTTTTGGGTTTTCCACATAAAGTATCATATCATCTGCAAAAAGTGAGAGTTTGACTTCTTCTTTGCCAATTTGGATGCCTTTGATTTCTTTTTGTTGTCTGATTGCTGTGGCTAGGACTTCCAATACTATGTTGAATAGCAGTGGTGATAGTGGACATCCCTGCCGCGTTCCTGACCTTAGGGGGAAAGCTCTCAGTTTTTCCCCATTGAGAATAATATTTGCTGTAGGTTTTTCATAGATGGCTTTTATGATATTGAGGTATGTACCCTCTATCCCTATACTCTGAAGAGTTTTGATCAAGAAAGGATGCTGTACTTTGTCAAAAGCTTTTTCTGCATCTATTGAGAGGATCATATGATTCTTGTTCTTTCCTTTGTTAATGTACTGTATCACATTGATTGATTTGCGGATGTTGAACCAACCTTGCAGCCCAGGGATAAATCCCACTTGGTCATGGTGAATAATCCTTTTAATGTACTGTTGGATCCTATTGGCTAGTATTTTGGTGAGAATTTTTGCATCCATGTTCATCAGGGATATTGGTCTGTAATTCTCCTTTTTGATGGGGTCTTTGTCTGGTTTGGGGATCAAGGTAATGCTGGCCTCATAAAATGAGTTTGGAAGTTTTCCTTCCGTTTCGATTTTTTGGAACAGTTTCAGAAGAATAGGTATTAATTCTTCTTGAAATGTTTGGTAGAATTCCCCTGGGAAGCCATCTGGCCCTGGGCTTTTGTTTTTTGGGAGATTTTTGATGACTGCTTCAATTTCCTTAGTGGTTATAGGTCTGTTCAGGTTTTCTATTTCATCCTGGTTCAGTTTTGGTAGTTGATACATCTCTAGGAATGCATCCATCTCTTCCAGGTTATCTAATTTGCTGGCATAGAGTTGCTCATAATATGTTCTTATAATTGTTTGTATTTCTTTGGTGTTGGTTGTGATCTCTCCTCTTTCATTCATGATTTTGTTGATTTGGGTCATTTCTCTTCTCTTTTTGATAAGTCTGGCCAGGGGTTTATCAATCTTGTTAATTCTTTCAAAGAACCAGCTCCTAGTTTCGTTGATCTGTTCTACTGTTCTTTTAGTTTCTATTTCATTGATTTCTGCTCTGATCTTTATGATTTCTCTTCTCCTGCTGGGTTTAGGCTTTATTTGCTGTTCTTTCTCCAGCTCCTTTAGGTGTAGGGTTAGGTTGTGTACTTGAGACCTTTCTTGTTTCTTGAGAAAGGCTTGTATTGCTATATACTTTCCTCTTAGGACTGCCTTTGCTGCATCCCAAAGATTTTGAACAGTTGTGTTTTCATTTTCATTGGTTTCCATGTATTTTTTTAATTCTTCTTTAATTTCCTGGTTGACCCATTCATTCTTCAGTAGGATGCTCTTTAGCCTCCATGTATTTGAGTTCTTTCCGACTTTCCTCTTGGGATTGAGTTCTAGTTTCAAAGCATTGTGGTCTGAAAATAGGCAGGGAATGATCCCAATCTTTTGGTACCGGTTGAGACCTGATTTATGACCTAGGATGTGATCGATTCTGGAGAATGTTCCATGGGCACTAGAGAAGAATGTGTATTCCGTTGCTTTGGGGTGGAATGTTCTGAATATGTCTGTGAAGTCCATTTGGTCCAGTGTGTCATTTAAAGTCTTTATTTCCTTGTTGATCTTTTGCTTAGATGATCTGTCCATTTCAGTGAGGGGGATGTTAAAGTCCCCCACTATTATTGTATTGTTGTTGATGTGTTTCTTTGCTTTTGTTATTAATTGCCTTATATAATTGGCTGCTCCCATGTTAGGGGCATAGATATTTACAATTGTTAGATCTTCTTGTTGGATAGATCCTTTAAGTATGATATAGTGTCCTTCCTCATCTCTTATTACAGTCTTTGGTTTAAAATCTAATTTGTCTGATATAAGGATTGCCACCCCAGCTTTCTTTTGGTGTCCATTAGCATGGTAAATGGTTTTCCACCCCCTCACTTTCAATCTGGGGGTGTCTTTGGGTCTAAAATGAGTCTCTTGCAGACAGCATATCGATGGATCTTGTTTTTTAATCCAGTCTGTTAGCCTGTGTCTTTTGATTGGGGCATTTAGCCCATTTACATTCAAGGTAACTATTGAAAGATAGGAATTTAGTGCCATTGTATTGCCTGTAAGGTGACTGTTACCGTATATTGTCTGTGTTCCTTTCTGGTCTATGTTGCTTTTAGGGTCTCTCTTTGCTTAGAGGACCCCTTTCAAGATTTCCTGTAGGGCTGGTTTTGTGTTTGCAAATTCCTTTAGTTTTTGTTTGTCCTGGAAGCTTTTTATCTCTCCTTCAATTTTCAATGACAGCCTAGCTGGATAGAGTATTCTTGGCTGCATATTTTTCTCATTTAGTGCTCTGAATATATCCTGCCAGTCCTTTCTGGCCTGCCAGGTCTCTGTGGATAGGTCTGTTGCCAATCTAATGTTTCTACCATTGTAGGTTACATATCTCTTCTCCCGAGCTGCTTTCAGGATTTTCTCTTTGTCTCTGAGACTCGTAAGTTTTACTATTAGATGTCGGGGAGTTGACCTATTTTTATTGATTTTGAGAGGGGTTCTCTGTGCTTCCTGGATTTTCATGCCTGTTTCTTTCCCCAAATTAGGGAAGTTCTCTGCTATAATTTGCTCCATTATACCTTCTGCCCCTCTCTCTCTTTCTTCTTCTTCTGGGATCCCAATTATTCTAATGTTGTTTCGTCTTATGGTATCGCTTATCTCTCGAATTCTGCCCTCATGATCCAGTAGTTGTTTATCTCTCTTTTTCTCAGCTTCTTTATTTTCCAGCATTTCATCTTCTATATTACTGATTCTCTCTTCTGCCTCATTTATTCTAGCAGTTAGCGCCCCCAATTTTGATTGCACCTCATTAATAGCCTTTTTGATTTCTACTTGGTTGGATTTTAGCTCTTTTACTTCTCCAGAAAGAGTTTCTCTAATAACTTCCATATTTTTTTCAAGCCCAGCTAGTATCTTTAAAGTGATGATTCTGAACTCTAGATCTGACATCGTACTAATGTCCGTATTGAGTAGGTCCCTGGCAGTCGGTACTGCCTCTTGTTCTTTTTGTTGAGGTGATTTTTTCCGTCTCGTCATTTTGTGCAGAGGAGAATAGATTAATGAGAGAACAAAATGCTAGCAGAGTAACCACGTCCCCAGAAAATATACTCTAAACAAATCAGAAAAGACCTTTCAGAAAGTGGTCGCTTTTCTGTTCAGAAAGTTGTTGCTCTTCTTTTCTTTGATCTCCTGTTGGGTTTGTAGGTGTTCAGAATGGTTTGATCCCTATCCAGCTGAATTCCTGAGAGGAGACGAAATCCAGGTCTCCTACTCCTCCGCCATCTTGCTCCCTCCTGCTTTCTTCTAATTTTTAACTTTGATCTTATTGCTATAACAGCAATTATACCTTTTCAAAATTAAGCTACTTCCTAAAAAAACAATATAAAAATGATGAAAGGGGGAAAGCCAAATGTTTGCTTTGCTTTTCACTTACCACAGTTCATCAACCTGGTTATATCACAGGTGGCACCAGAGGTCTCCATGGTCATGATGTCACCGTAGCAGCCATGGTACAGGCGGGGATGCAGGTGAGGGTTCATTGAATGAGTGAAAGGGTACGAGCCCCTAGAAGTGCCTGGGGGAGAGAACGATAATTCTCATGAAGCCTGCAAGATATATTGCTCAAGTCGCTATAATGAGCATTACTAAACCAAAGGTGAAGCCGTAGACTTACTCTTTCCCAATTCCCTCCCTAAGACCCCTTGGATAACTCATCAGACAAAACAGAACAGAAGATTCCCCTGTCCCATTTTACTCCAACCTTAAAAAAAAAACTTTTTTAAGTAGTCTCCACACCCAACGTGGGACTTAAACTCATGACCTGGAGATAAAGTCACATGCTCTCCTGACTGAGCCAGCACGGTGCCCCTGAAAATCTTTTAATGAAGTAGTTAATTCTAAACATTGTACAAAGTATTATGAAAATCAATTTTTATAGGTCTCAAAAACACTTGCTGCAATCTTGATCGGAATTAAAATTGCCAATAGAGTTTTAAGCAGGAACTTTGAGAGAAATTTTTTTTTTTTTTTTTTTTTTTTTTTTTTTAATTTTTTTATTCTTATGTTAATCCCCTTACATTACAACATTAGTTTTAGATGAAGTGTTCCATGATTCATTGTTTGTGCACAACACCCAGTGCTCCATGCAGAATGTGCCCTCCTAAATACCCACCACCAGGCTAACCCATCCTCCCACCCCCCTCCCCTCTAGAACCCTGTTTGTTTTTCAGAGTCCATCGTCTTTTGAGAGAAATTTTAAGACACTTCTGACACAAATACTTCTGGGGATGTAAACATCTGGATTAACAAATTGCCTTCGTTTAAGAAAATAAGAAAGAAGTGTACCAATACCACTTAAGATAAAAAAGAAGGGTACCATTAACTTAAAATATCCATTTTATATCATGTTTCTGTGAGGTTGAATTTCTAAGTATAATTAGTAAAATTGGAAATAAAATTCAACTTACCATAAAAACTTAAGTTAAATCCTATTCTTATTTTTTATTTTGTCATTATAAAGTGACTTACTGTCCAAGTCTATTTACTAAAGGAGATAAAGAGCTTTGGTGTAAGTTGAAAAGTTTGCTCTAATAGTTCCTAGGACTGTTGACTTATATCTTAAGACTACAAATACTTGTCATAAGAAATTATATTTGTTAAAACATTTGATGTAAAAAACTATGTTGTTTCACTTAGTGTTGTAAATGGTATTTTTTAATAGAGAGATGGATTTTCCCCATTCACTATAAGTCTAATTCTGATGAACTTGACAGTATAAAGAGACTCTCTTAGAATTAGGCACACAACCAATGGAACTATTCCTTATAAATATATATTTTAAAAGGAAAACAAAGCAACTCTAAAGACTAACTTTTTTAAAAAGCAAAACTCATCAAAACAAATAAAAATACAGGCACAGTCTATCTCTCCCAACTACAAACAGGGAAAAAAAAAAAAAGCTATTGTAAATGCATCAGAAGGTCAGACAGTGAAACTATCAAGTAAATTCATAATACTTAGAAAGCCTATTTAGATAACAAAACCAGTAGAAACCAGCAAAGCCATTAAGCTTCCCTAAGCAGTATGGATTTCCATGTGATGCAAAGAGCATGGCATTGGCACTCTTCATGGCCCTCAGCATAGAATCTTGAGCCTACAATATGTGTAGGAAATATACATGAGTGAATGAATGGATGGATTTCCAGGACACAGATCATATGTAAGATAGAAGCGTAGAAGCTGTGAGTGAGGGTGCAGACTGACAACATATACCCAGAATCTGACCACTTTTCACCACCTTTGCTACCACCAGGGTCCAAACTACCACCATTGCTCATCTTGATTATTGTAACAGCCTCCTAGCTGACCTCCTTCCTCCACCCTTGCAGTCTATCCCCCAGCAGCCAGACTGGTTTGTGGAAACATGCATGGGATCATGGGATCAACCTTCCAGTGGCTTTCCAATCATTCTGTTGTGGCCTTCAAGCCCTACCTGATCTGGCCTCTGCTCACTTTCTGACTTCTCCTTCCCTTCCCTCACTCTTCTCCAGTCACATTCTTCTCCTTGCTTATCCTTCAACATCTCAGGCAGGTTCCTAGCTCAAGGCCTTTATATTTACAGATCCTTTTGCATAGAATGCTATTTCTCCAGGTATCTACATGATTTGCTGCCTCACTGCCTTCAGGACTCTGTTCAAATACCACCCTATCAGCAAAAGATATGAATAAACAGTTCATAAACAAAAAAAAGAAAAAATCCTTAAATGTATAAAAAGGTGCTCAACCACACTCAAAAGAGAATGCCATATTAAAACATCACTGAGACACTATTTTTTACCTATTTAATTGGCAAGAATCCAAAAGTTTGACAATGTATTCTGACAATGAGGTGGTGGGGGAATAGGCAGTATTATACATTGCTGTGGAAGGAGATTTTGCAATAGGCTGTTGTTTCAGCACTATTTATAACAGCAAAGATCTGGGAACAATGCAAGTATCATTCACATAGGGACTGAGTAAGCTAAGCCCCTTCCACACAACAGATTACTATGCAGCTGCAAAAAGGAAGAACTCTATATGATTCTATAACATTATCTCCAGGTACAGAGTAGTAGTTATGGAATTGTATTTGTTTGAAAAAGGGAGAAAATATGATAGTGTGTGTTTGGGTGTGTGAGAGATTTCTTTATATATTCAAAAGAAACAATACAAGGATGAACCAAAAACTAATAAAAACTGTTAGTTATGGGGCAAGGTAAGAAGAGGTAAAAGGGACAGGGATAGAGGCTAGACTTCTCTAAATGTACCTTTTTTATAGTTTTTATTTTGGAGCCATGTACATGTTTCTATAATTTAAAAACATTAAATAGAAAAAAAATCCTAAAAAGTGAGAGACAAATTATATCAAATTGAAAACTTAAGTAATACATAGAAGAGAATTATTTCTAGTTACTTAAAAACAAGTCAGTGTAAGCATACACCGCTAGTGGAATACATCCTATGAACATAAAGAATCATAAGAAAATCTTAAACTATATGCACAGGATCACTGTTGGTTGGTAATACTGCCATAGTTATTTTGAAACTATTATATATAAATAAGTATCATGTTAATGTTATTAGGAGTCAGGATTTTTAGAAATCCTTTGTATTCAAAAATATTAATGTGAAATATCAGTATGAATGCATAATTATTTTTCTTTTTTTTAAAAAAATATATATGTTCTAAGTTTTCTCCACTGAAAAGACCTGGAAGGAATAACACCCCATAGCAATGGAGGACCCCTGATACTCATATTGTGGTCTCTAAATACTATTTCCCACTCAGGAACCAGTGCTCCTCAGAAAAAGGTCTCATTCCTGGTCTGGGGCAGGAAATGTTTAAGATGAGCCAGGAACATCTTCTTATGCCAGAGCTAGTCCTTGTACATTTTAGACACATTCTAAAACATTTATAGGTAAAATGTTTTGATCTTTTGGGTTGCTTTACAACATTCTAACCTCCGATCCTCCCAAAAAATGCAGACGTGAGGAATAGATAAAATAAGAATAGCAAAGTGTTGAAAACCATAGATGCTTGATGATGGTACACGGGAGTTAATTACACTATTCCCTCCCCCATTTTATGTGTTTGAAACATTCTACAACAATTTTTAATTAACTTATTAAAGAGCCTTTTTTTCTACTTATATTAAAAAGGCAACACACTCATGCCTCATTCCTTATCACCCATTACCTTATATTATTTTATTTATATCACCTATCACCACCTGACATGTCTTCCTTCCTTCCTTCCTTTTATTTCTTCCTCTCTTTTTTCCTATTCCTCTCACTAGAACATTTTTTTCCCTTTGCTATCTCCTCCTCAGCACCTAGAACAATGCCTGGCACAAAGTGGACATTCAATAAATATTTGTGAATGGATAATGGATGGATGGATGGATGGATGGATGGATGGATGAATGAGAAGTAAAGGAATAATCTAAGTTATCTGGATCAAGTGTCCATATGTCAAAAGTTTCAATTTCTTTTTACTGGAGAGCCAGCCTTCGCTATGCTCACAGGTATCAAAGTTACCTGGATGCCTATTAAAAATACCTATTTCTGGGCTCCTCATACTAGGTCTGTTGAATCAGAGTCTTTAGGTATAAGGTCAAAGAATCTGCACTTTAACCAAGATTCCCAGCAGACTCATGTATACCTAAGTTTGCTTTAAGGGGATTAGAATATGACCATGGACTTTACACTACTTGTGTTGACATCATAAACACACAGGCCCTTCTTAATTATAGTCACCTTTCAATTAAACATAGCTAGTAGGGTAGCTCATAATTAGTCCACTGGCTATATAATTCTGCTCCCACCTGGAAATTAAAGAAAGAATAAAAATTTAAAACTATGTTCCCCTGCCTTTGACCACATAAATAATCGGAAATTATCACTTTTCTGTAGCTTCACTTTTTCAAATTTAGAATTAAACATTTCAGAAATACTTTCTTCTCAATCTTCACCCTATTCATAAAGACAACCTGAACATTGTTTACAGTTGCCTTTCATTTTTCCTAAGCCAAATTTTCAATCTTTTCTTATTCAAAGTCCCTAACCATCTCACCAGCCTACCTTTCTATCCTTCCCCTCAGAAATCTTCACTTCTGTTCTGGTCTCACTGATCTGTTTACTGTACTCCCAACACTTTTCATCCATTTCTGCCTCCCTATACTAAAGCCATTCTACCCATACAGCAGACTCTTTTCTTCTCTTATCAAATAACACCAAACATTCTTCAAGTATAACATCCTCCCAGAAAGCCTTTCTGGTCTCAACATCCTGACTAGATGTGAACTGTTTATCCTGAACTCTTCCCAGACTAGTGTCTTTTTCTGTCTATATTCATTTAACTCTTATTTACTGCCTGGTATTAATAATTTTATCTTCATATGTCTTGCCTCCCAAGGCACTGTTCCATAAATTCCCACTGACAGTGCCTTCACCTACTTGGCAAGCAGAATACACTGCTAATTATAGATGTAAGCAGTTGACTGATGGCCAGGCTGATTAGAAGGAGAACCCACCCCTCCATTACATGTAATCATTGCTTTTTCTGATTCATGACTATGCTACATGTTTTTGTGGACACCCTGCAGAAGATGCTAAATGTCAGTCGATGACTTACCAATGAGGGCAATAAGTCCCCAAAACAGGATAGAGGATAGCATGGTTGTGAATCTTATCCTACAGCACCTATTATGATTTGAAAGAGAAACTGGTTAATTTTAAAACTTGAAAGTTTTCTGAAGGAAATTTGTTTTAATTAAAAGAAAATTTAGAATCATTTCCAGTATAATACTTTTTTTGCCAGTTCCAAGATTTTATTCTCATAGGCTCAGTATTATGGTTCATTGGATCACTCTTTCCTAAGTATAATCTCCCAACTCATTTTAATCCAATTTCATATTGACATGAGCCTATAAATATCTTAAATATGTTAGGCCAACACACACACTCCCATCCTGTCTCCAAGGTTGCTCATATCATAATTTTGTTCCCATTCTTTGACTATAGTCTCCTTAGAAAACCAAAAGAAGCCACTGAGAGGAGCATTAGAGATCAGGACTCAGAAGAGGTTTGCTGTGCTCCGTACATTCTATTTTTGGTTTCATTCAAAAGACAGCTTAAGTGTTCTACAAGATACAAGAAGGTGAGCACTAACCTGGTTTGTGAACTTGCAGAGCAAATCTCTCCTCTCGGTTTAGGAAAGTCCCCCGTCTTCAGCACTACCCTGCACGCCAGACTTTAACAAAGCAGTGGCCTTTGTCCTAAAAGACAAGTTAAACAATTTGAGAATCCATTAGTTGGTAGATCTATGATTACCTGGCTTCAATCCAAGCAAACTTCAGTGTGGCTCTGCCACTGTGGAGGAGGTTCTAAACACCAGCCTGTAGAATCACCTGCCTCTTCTTACCTTCATCCTGTATCACTGATCATTGGAGGGGCTTTATATATGGTTTGAAACCCTCTCTTTAAATCACTGACCTCATTAGACCTGATTATAATAACACTTTGTACTTAGGTGGCCCTTTTAATAAAAAGATTTCAAAGCATTTATTAACCACTATTAATTAATTAATCTAATGAACCCCCAAGTTACATTGGAGGCATATATTTGGAGGATAGTTTCTGGGCATCTAAAATTGAGCTACACAACTGCTAAATTTGAGAACAAGAAACAGATAATTAGCATTAAAAAGATAAACAGGAAATACTAGCAGCTCTCATTCCTATATTGGTCGTTTGCCTGAAGGCTGAGCCTCCTGCTCTTTGTTTTTCATTCCATTGTCACATGATCTGCATACCAATATGTCACATGGCTCCTTGCTCCAATTCAACTCTGACAAACAGAGCCAAGAGTGGCTGCCTGCTCTGGGAGATCAGTACAAAGCCAGAGAGTAGCAACATGAGTGCCAGTTTCCCAAACTATCTGAGGAAATGGGAAAAAAAGATTTGGCCAGGGATGAAAATTTTTTCAAGGACGGAGTATCTTTCTTCACAATTATGTCCAAAAGAAGAGATAAAGCATATTGTGCAGCCCTGGGAATAGGAAATGGAAGGGACATTCTTGAAATAGGCAAAGCACATTTTCCAAAGGGGAGGAAGACTGACACAGGTCCTTCCACAAGTGTGAGAAGTTTCTAAGACACTGTACACAATCCTTCCATAAATCCACAAGGTGAACACAGGTGTGAGAGAGACTGAGCAGGAGATGGCGAAGATGAAGGCCCTGAGTCAACTTGCCAGGCTCCCTGGCAATGAATAAACCACAACTTCTAGGAGATCATGCCCTCAAGAAGCTGATCTCTGCACTACCTCATTGCATTCACTTCTGCCCTGCCTGTTTGTAGAAGAGACTTCCCTTTAAGTGGCCTCCAGCCTTCCGTTCCAGGGAAGAAGGGCGGGGATATTCTGAACCAATGATAATTCCTGCCTTGATTATCATGAAAATGATTCAGGGCTGGGGCTGGCTCTACCAGCACCATCAATGCTTGCAGTCAGGGCCACTCTTTAATAAGGGGTTTTGCATGGGTCCAGCTTCTCCAACATGGCCCTCAGGAACACATGAGCCATCACCAGTGACAGTGGAACATTGCACTGATGTGCTCATGCCCCTCCTCCACCCCACCAGTGCAGGACAAGATGGGAGAAAGAAGAAAGGAAGATGAAGTAGAGGAAGAAGGAAAAGTTATGTAAAGGATTCTAGGTAGAGGCTGAAGCTGTCTCTAGATGCTCCTAGAGAACAAAAGTAAAAACAAAACATTGAAAGTACTATTAAATGTGAAACCTATTTTATTCTTCTCCCTGTTTTCATATAGTGGGGCTACAAGTCCTTCTAGGTATGAAGCTTTTCATGTCCAGGCCCTCTGCACTTTAAATAAATGCTTTCAAACTGATGTGGATTATTAAGCTTTGTTCAAATTGTGAGAATACAAATAAACATTTATTTGACACCCATCATACCCCAGGTTCCTATGTACATTATATCATCCAATCCTCTAACAGCTCTGTAAAGTAGGTATTACCCTATTTTAGAGATGAGGAAACTGAGACTCAGAAAAGTTAAGCAACTTGTCAAAGATGGCACAGTCAGGACATGACAAAGCTGGGATTTGAGCCCAGGTCTGTAAGATTTCAAAATCCATGCTCTTCCATTATGTCCAAGGTACTAATGCTATGGACCAATGACCCTGCAGAGTAATTATTACGATGGGTTCAAATCAGTCAGTTTGCATACAAAGCATCATCTGTGGTCTGAATAAATCATTCCAGTTGTAGATATTTAGCTGTCATTTGTTTGTAGATGCTGTTGTCGTTTTTTTTTTTAGAGGGAGAGAGAGAGAAGGGTGAGGAAGGCAGAGGAAGAGAGAGAAAATCTTAAGTAGGCTCCATGCCTAGCAGAGTCCCAATGCGGAACTCCATCTCACGACCCTGAGATCATGACCTGAGCTGAAATCAAGAGTTGGACACTTCACCAGCTGAACCACCCAGGCACTCCGATGCTGTTGTAATTTTTAAATACAAATATGAGTCAACTGAATCCACAGTGCCTTTTTGTCACTTTATATCTTCACCAATAACATGCATTGAGTTTCTATAGAAGGCCTGGCAGAACAGTAGTAAGAGGCATGGGCTAGGTCTGCACCCAGGTTTGTTGCACTCTAAAGCCTAACTTTTAATTAATAATTGAAAACCCAATGGATGGTTAAGTGTGGATGCTATCATATAAGGGTCTGAGAAAAATGTTGACATTGAAAAGTAATTTACTGAATGAATGATTCCCCATCTCTTCCCAAGGGTGCTAAAATTGACTATGCATGTGAGTTGTACTGATGGTGCCAGGAGGAGCTTGAAGGGACCAGTCATCTGCTATAATCTCCCTCAGCCCCCCTGTTTTCCCAAAGTAACAATATGATCTATATGCAAAGAACATCTTTTCTCAGGGCACCTGCGTGGCTCCATCTGTTGAGCGTCCGACTCTTGATTTTGGCTCTTGTCATGATCTCAGGGTCATTGGATCAAGACTGGCATCAGACTCTTCACTTGGCATGGAGTCTGCTTGGCATTCTCTCTCTCCCTCTCCCTCAGCCACCCCCTTGCTCATGCTCTCCCTCTCACTCTCAATCTCTCTCTCTATTTTTAAAAAATTATTATTATTGGCTGGGTGATGGACATTGGGGAGGGTATGTGCTATGGTGAGCACTGTGAATTGTGTAAGACTGATGAATCACAGACCTGTACCCCTGAAACAAATAATATATGTTAATTTAAAAAAACAAACAAAAATTATAATAATGATTATTATTAAGATTTTATTTATTTGAGAGACAGAGAGCATGAGCAGTGGGGAGGGGCAGTAGTATAAGCAGACTCCCCACTGAGCAGGGAGCCTGATGTAGACTCCAGCCCAGGGCCCTGGGATCATGACCTGAGCCAAAGGCAGATGCTTAACCAACTCAGCCACCCAGGTGCACTTCTCTGTCTCTCTAAATGAATAAATAAAATCTTTTTTTAGAATGTCTTTGGGGCACCTGGGTGGAGTCGGTTAAGCATCTGACTCTTGGTTTCAGCTCAGGTCGAGATCTTGGGGTCGTGGGATCGAGCCCCATATCAGCCTCCACACTCAGTCCCCACACTTAGCCCGGGGTCTGCTTGAGATTCTTTCTCCCTCTTCCTCTGCCCTTCCTTCTCTCTCTCTCAAAAATAAACAAATACATCTTAAAAAAAAAAATGTTCTTCCTATACAAATGACACCCTGTGACCAGTCCCCTGACTTCCTGCAACCTCCCAAACAGTTGTCTACCTCCAAGACTTTTCAAGATAGTAATACTCTGGTAATATAGTTGTGGTTCCTGGCCCTAAGGGTGAGGACTCCAATCATCTCTAACATCTAAATGACCTCAGCAAGAGACCTTAAGCCAAAATGTATGTAGCTTCCACAAAAACAACTTGCTTTCCATCAGTCTCACAAAAGCAGGGTGTGGCAAGAAGAGCCCTGGCCTGGAAGCCTAGAGATCCAGCTTGCAGTCTCAGATCTGCCCCTAACCAGCTGAGGGCCCTTGGGTAGGTCAGCAGTCTAGACATCATTTTCCCACTTATAGAGTAAAAAACCTGGATGACAGCAGATGATCTCCAAGCCTTCGGTCTGGCTCCAACAATCTCCTGGATCCAGAAGAGGGAATAAGTGTGGGAGGTCGAACAGAGAGGCTTAAATATGGATTAAGTCTATATTACACTTTTTACTGTTTTTCAGGGAAACTTGGACTGCATTTTAGTTCTCATCAAAATCACAAATGCCATGCAAGTCATCCTGTGTTTTAGGGTGGATTTCAAAATAAATTTTCTTCTCTATCTTGTAACTGACAAGTAGTAGACCTTTATCATATGTAGGCCCAGAACTTAAGTTCAGGATCCTGATCCTCAACAATTTTCATATTGACAAGGGCAGTAAGAAAGAGGTGTTGTTTGTTTGCTTGCTTGCTTATTTGTTGGTCTCAGCCATAGTTACAAATTTCCCTGTCAGGTTGAGTGAGTCGCAGAAGATATGAGTAAGGCCAATGAAAGTTTTAACTTTGCATATGTCAAGAGTAGCCTCAGAATTGCCCAAAATAATGTAAAGGGCTGAAAAATACAGTATATTGAAAAATCAAGATTCTTTCTGTCATAACTGTCAGGAGACTTTTAGATCCAGGTTCGGATTACTGTTGCTCATAGTTTGGGGTTAGGTGGGGATCACAGTCTGGGGAATCATTATTCCTGTCACAATGCCTATCACTGTGATGTTGAAGCCCAAGACAGGACTCAAATGCTCTGGCAATTCCACAGAATTTTTAACTTTTCTTTCTGCTGCCTCTCTACTTCCTAACCCAATGTCCTGCTCCCCCTTAGGTTAATCTGATAACAGAGTTATATTAATTAATGACAGAAACATAAAGTAATCTCATTTTCAGGTACAATTTAATTTTAAATTTTAACCAAGGTTTTCAATACCTGAAGTCTTGTTTTTTCAAAGTGAGAAATAAGTCAGTCTGCCACAGGGATGCAGAAACCAGAGGACAGCCATCACACACACACACACACACACACACACACACACACACACACCTCTTTGCAAAAGGATCATTATTTTTATAATAAAATACATGCATTTTAAAAATACACACCTTTACTGTGGAAAAAAATGTGAAATCTGCATTAATTTTTAAGATAAAACATCAGATTCAGAAAGGTTTCTCTTTCAGCTCCCACTTGGAACTCTGTTCCAAACCACCACCCACCCGGGGTAACCTTTATATGCCTATGCCATTGAGAGAGTTTCAGTGGAAAAGTTTAAGAAGTACTGTCCTAATTAATAGGAGAGGAATGATGATGGAATCTAAGGCACTGTGCATGCCCAAGGAAGTAGATTTTGGTTGGAGTTCCTTGAAGGACTCCTCAGAACACATCACAAAGAGAGTTGCACGTGTGCCCTGAGCTAGCCTAGGTCAGCACCCTTGGGAGTTAAAAGAGCCCAGTATCTCAAGCTCGCTTGGTCCTCTTTCCTTCCTCATCCCTATCTACCTCCCTCCCAGCACTGGTCTGTGGTTTTAGAGACTGGGTTGCCTCCACCATGTTGCCATTTGGGAATCCCAGTCTCAGCTCTCCTTTCTCAAGAACAACCAAGGATGATTACCATGGGCAGCTCATTTAACCTCTCTGAGCCTTAGTTTGCCTCATCTGTAAAATGGAGATGATAATGATGCCCCATGACTGTTTTGAAGA